CCTAAACACCAACTCCGATAGACCATCAGTAGAGCAGGTGTTTAAATTAATCAATCACTGCTGCGAAAGCTTATAGCAGTGAAAGCTAATATACCACAGCCATCACTTAATAAACGCAAAATAAACAACCCTCTAAAAACGGAAAACTGTAATGGACTGAAAGTCCTGTTTTTTATGTGGGAAATTATTTGCGTGTGTTTTAGTATAATTCTGATATATTGGCGCTGTTGTCTGTTTCTATGGCAACGATACTGATTGTAGTGTAGCTTAGAGACCTGCATGGGTCGAGTTTTACCAACCCGCACCCGCCCGAACCCGTTAGGATGACTACCGAACCCGACCCGTCACCCGCGGATATCTTCAATTCAAATGTTATGGGGAGAGGGCGGAGGGGGGTGATGGGGAGAAAGCGAGAGGCAACAGATTCTTTTTTCTGAGTTTTTTTGTCGGGGTTTGTGGACGGTGAGCAGCGGGGAGAACTTTTTTTATTTTCTTTCTGAGGAGCGGCATGAATGGGGTTTTAATCAGATATACACAGCACCGAAAGCAAAATACGTGTACAAAATATTGGTGGGGACATGTCCACACCAGTCCTTAAGGAAGTTACGCCTATGATTGTTCAGATTAACTTGTCTTCTTTATGGCTTTTATTCGGTGCTTTACTGCATTTGTTTTGGGAAAATATGAGGAAAAAATAAATACTGAAAAAAAATATATATTTTTTAAAATCGCAAAATAATTATAGGGTGGCTAATGCCAAAGAAAGGGTGGCTGAAGCCACCCTTAAATAGGTCTAACGACGCTTATGGTTGAACGCCATATCGAGTCTTGGTCCACTTCCTGCCACAAGTCATGTCTTTGTTCTGCAGCTCCTGCTGTTCAGTCCCCTGGAGGTAGGGGGGAGATGGATTCTCCTGACCTTTCTTCTGTCCCTTCCGAGTATCATGATCTGGCACCAGTCTTCAGTAAGGTCAGTACGACATCTCTTCCACCCCACAGACCATATGATTGTGCAATAGACTTATTACCAGGAGCCCCTCTTCCCAGCAGCAGATTATTTAATATCTCCAAGCCTGAACGTGAAACGATGGAGAAATACATAAATGAATCTCTAGCTGCTGGTATTATCAGACCATCTTCATCTCCTCTCGGTGCTGTTTTTTTTTTTTTTTTTTCGTGGGAAAGAAAGACGGTTCCCTTGACCCTGTATTGACTACAGAGGACTTAATCAAATAACCGTAAAAAATAAGTACCCACTTCCACTACTGGCATCAGCCTTAGAACCAGTTCAAGGAGCTACGGTGTTCACCAAGCTTGATTTAAGAAACGCCTATCATCTCCTTAGGATAAGAGAAGGAGATGAATGGAAGACAGCCTTTAAGACCCCCATTGGCCAATTTGAGTATTTGGTCATGCCTTTTGGTCTTACTAACGCTCCTGCCTTTTTCCAAGCCCTGGTCAACGATGTCCTCAGAGATTTTCTAAACGTTTTTGTTTACATCGATGACATTCTGATCTATTCCAGGAACCTCTCAGATCACAAAAAACACGTCCGCCTGGTTCTTCAGAGGCTGCTCGAAAACAAGCTCTTCGTTAAGGCTGAGAAATGTGAATTTCACCAACCATCGGTTACATTTTTTGGGTTTGTGCTTGAAGGCGGCAGGTGAAGCCATCCGAAGAAAAGATAAAGGCAGTTCTGGATTGGCCTACTCCAGAAAATCGCAAGCAACTTCAAAGGTTCCTAGGGTTCGCTAATTTCTACAAACGATTCATTAGAAATTATAGCCAAACTGCTCTACCCCTCACAGCCTTGACTTCAGTTAAAAAGACCTTCCAATGGACACCTGAGGCTGACACAGCATTTAAGAAACTTAAGACTCTTTTTTCCAGTGCACCTATCCTGGTCCAGCCTGATCCCGCTAAGCAATTCATTCTTGAGGTGGATGCATCTGACTCCGGTGTTGGAGCAGTTCTTTCACAACAATCTGACTCTGATCATAAAACTCACCCCTGTGCTTTTTTTTCACGTAGACTCTCCCCGGCTGAGCAAAATTATGATGTTGGAGACAGAGAACTACTCGCCATCAAACTCGCTTTGGAGGAATGGAGGCACTGGCTCGAAGGCGCCGAACATCCAGTATTAGTGTGGACTGATCACAAGAACCTGGCATATCTCCAATCAGCCAAAAGATCCAATCCTCGTCACTCCAGATGGTCTCTGTTCTTCTCCCGTTTCAATCTCATCATCTCTTACAGACCCGGTTCCAAGAACGTGAAACCTGATTATCTCTCTCGTCTGTATTCCTCTGATCGACCTGAGACACCTGAGCCTGTTCTTCCCTCTTCGTGTACTGTTGGAGCCGTCTCCTGGGAAATCACCGATCTCATCAACTTAGCCCTGGCCTCCTAACCTGACCCAGGTAACGGTCCTCCAAATAAGACTTATGTTCCTTCTTCAGTGAGATCCCGCCTCATCCAGTGGATGCACACATCCAAATTCTCAGCTCATGCTGGCGTAAGCAGAACTGTTGCTTTGATCACACGTCATTTTTGGTGGCCGTCCCTTCACAAGGACGTGAAGGAGTACGTACTGGCCTGTTCCATCTGTGCCAGAAACAAACCCACCCACCAACCACCCTCTGGATTGCTCCGTCCTCTACCTGTTCCTACCCGTCCAGGGTCCCACATAGCTGTGGATTTTGTTACCGGTCTTCCCATATCCCGAGGTATGTCCACTATTCTCACGATTGCAAGGTCTCCCTCACTTCAGGTTACCACCCTCAAACCAATGGACAGACGGAGAGGATGAACCAGCAACTCGAGTCCACTCTCCGCTGTCTTACATCTAATAATCCTACTGACTGGAGTCAGTTTCTGACTTGGACCGAGTATGCTCATAATACTCAAAGATCTGCTGCAACCGGTCTGTCCCCTTTCCAAGTGTCTCTAGGTTACCAGCCCCCGCTCTTTCCCGCAGATGAGAGGGAGATATCAGTCAGGTCCGTTCACCACCATATCCGCCGCTGTCAACGTACCTGGAACGAAACCATCGCCGCCCTCAACCGTTCATCCGCCAACAAAAAAAGATTTGCTGACTCTAGGCGTCGCCCTGCTCCTGATTATACCATTGGACAAGAGGTATGGTTATCCACTAGAGATATTCCACTAAAGTCCATGTCCAGAAAACTCTCTCCAAGGTTTATCGGTCCGTCCAAGATTGCCCAAATAATCAACCCATCTGCTGTCCGCCTGCACCTGCCATCATCTCTGCATATCCACCCCACCTCATGTGTCTCAAATAAAACCTGTCATCACCAGTCCACTTTTTTCATTATGATATCACTTATTTATGGCGGCACAAACTTAAGATGTATTTTATTTTCTGTAGCAGTGATGTACAGGAGTTTGAAGACAACAATGTAGTCCAGAAGGTTTTATTTTTCTAAATCCCTTTATAATACATACTAATTCGTTTTACTTGGCTATAAATTTGTAATAGATTAACAGCCTAAACGTCTTTAAAGATAGATAGATAGATAGATGATAGGGTCATTACTTTTTATTTTATGTATATCTTACTAATTAAACTTACAAGTCTCCAATTCGTGCTTCATTTAGAAATGTCCACCACTAGATGGCGCCACATAGCCTAGTGATTTTTACATAGTACATGCAAATGAATCTCTAAATAAATGCACCTTTTTTCTTGTGCACAGCTGTTGATGTGAAAAAAAACACTGACAATACCCTTAGATATAAACAGACACCAACAGATTAAAGTTTTATCATTTCATAAATAGGGGTTACAAAATAACAGAAATATTAAGTCACAAGGATCTGGTCCAAAATTATCTGGTCATTTATCCTGAAGCATATCCCAAGTGAAACTAAATGTTCCTTTAGAAATATTTGATTTCATTCATGCAGAACACATTCACATACCACTTCCTCAGTTACTCACAAGTTATAGAAACAGCTTAATACAACTCAAACATGAAGGTATAACTAAGATGAAGAATGAGGAACATGTTTTTTTTTTTTTTTTTGCTTAGACGAGAGACTTGCGCAAACTTGGCAAGTCAAGTATGATTTCTACACCCTTTAATCAGATATTGGTCAAATTTGGGTTGGATGTGTGCAGAAGGAGCTGCAAAAAAAGAGGTTTGCAAACAATATCAGCAAACATAAACCAGTCGATGAGCTCTTTGCAGAGACCAGCATCATTAGACTGGGTAAAGAGGCATGCAGTACATGCATGACATTGCTTTATTCAGGAGATTCCTCAAGAGGCAGGTATGCAGGCTTCCTTCAAGTGCAATGTCGCAAGTCCACTTGAACTTTTCACCACGACATGCTCTGCATCTACAGCAGAAAGTTACAGTTTTGCTAATAAATTGAACATAAACCGTAAAGTGTATAAACCTTTAGCTCCCGAAGAGCAAAGGTATGTTTATCTTCCAAGCTAAACACATAGCAGATAACCTTTCGGTAAAATTCTTTTGTAATTGAGTATTTGTTCCAATTAAGTTTTGTCTTGTAAAAACCTACAATAAAAGTGTGAGACCTCTCATTCATAAAATATGTTGCACCACAGCTTACGGGAAATGGTCACAGAGATGTATTTTCATTTGAAAATTTGGGCAACAATGCATTCCAGTAAAGTCACGCCCTCATATCTCTCACCATCAAAGCTGCAGAAAGTCTGTCTTTCGCACACCAGGGATATAGCAAAAATCAAGAAACATTACTTCCCCTTTGGTTGCAATTTTATTGAATATTAATCAAATAAGTTAACATTCAGACACAGAAAATGTTTGTATTGTAAATGACAAAAAAATAGGGATAGTCACTCTGCATTAACAGCAGTGAAATTCTGACCTTAATGCAAAACTCAGCAAAAGTAAACAGTTTTTGTTTATTGAAGATATTATAATCAGTATTTGGGTTGTTTAGCATTTCAAGTCTGCAGGACAGATGTTGCTCAGAGAGAGGCTGCAGTCTGATTTGGTGCGTGCAGACACGTGAAAACAGGGGAGATGTCCAGGAAGTCCCATGGAGAGCCTGAATATGGCTAAGAAATGTAAGCACATGTGTTCTGCAATATCAGGTGAGTCTTTCCATAGGGCTTTTGCTCTGAAAAACATAAAGAACAGGACATTAGATTGCTAAAAATTACCGTTAGAAGAGGCTTGATTTATAACTAGTACAGTTGGACATCCTGTGGTCTTCAAACAGCTCAATATATAATACTCAGAGCTGCATTAGGAATTTGCAAACAGGTGCGACTGCAGCACTCTGCACTGGCCACACCCCCAGTAGGAAGCTCTGCAACTGTGGCAACAGGTAAACAAACACATCTAGTATAATCACTCTTCAAAACCATGACACAGTCTCAGTGCTGAATTACTGGAAATGGAAACAGGTTTAAAGATGACCTAAATCACAAAATAAATAAATTCATTACTTAAAAGTATAGTGGAGGATGTTCTTTGTCCGGGTGAATCATCAAAATAAGTGGTCCTCCTAATTGTCAATCATTCTGGTGATATGTTTACGTAAGGCCGACCTACGTGCTCATCCCCATTTTCACTTACCGGTGTTGAGTGGAAAAATTGCAAAGCTTCTTTTGGAAAGTGAGCTTGTATCAGTGATGCAAACAGCAACTTTTAAACAGAGCGTGCACAAAGAGAAATTGGCTCGTGCATGCTCTTGCTCATTTTAAATAGGCGTTCCCTCTCTGGAGCAGGTACAGGGGTGTGCATGTACATTTTATTTTAAAGTGGAGAGGCGGGTCTTTTCAAAAATCCTCCAGTATGCATTTATGCATGGACTGTGTGCTGTTTAACATTTTTCATTAAAGACTGATGAGGTCATATACACTGGCCACCAACCTGGCCTTTACCGTACAGCATATAGAACAAAAAGACTGCAGTGAATAGGTGAGATGTTGTTGTTACAGTAGATAGGATTTTTATACACAGCAGTTTCTTTTTTGTAATTAAGAAAATGAGAGCAAGAGAAGCCTTTCTGAAACATGAACTACCTATATCGTCAAACAGGAGGTAAATAGAACTGGTACAGCAGAATATAGAATGGAAGAAAATATTTCAACAAAAAAAAACTAACAAATTGCAGCATACTATAATACAGTGGTGGTTTCTCACCCAAGGCAAAACCCACTCCGTGAATTTCATTAAATGGATAGTCAAAAATGCATCGTCTTAATAAACTTGATAAAAGCAGTTATTAAACTGCATCAAATATGCGCAAAAATGTGCATCAATTAATGAGCATTTTGCACATTAATCAGCTGTTGAGCCGCTCTGGTACGCAATCTTCTCCCCGGTCTGGAGCAGCAGCTGCCTTCAGTCTCTAGGAGAAATCCCTGTTGAGGTTTCAACCTCGGTCTAGTGAGGTAAGCAGCAATAAAGTAGAGCTCTGATTGGATAATACGCCAAAATACGTCACTTCCAGTGAGGATAAAGCTCTTAGGCTGTGTCAGAATGTCCACCCTCACCCCTAAATCCCTCTATCACTATATAGAGCAGGGAATATATAGTGGACTTGGACTGACCATTCGGAGGGATGATCACTACTTTTCCCTTGCCATTGGTCACGTTACTCCAGCTTCCTGCAAGGTGAATGTGCCATCTTTTTTCTTTGTCACCACCTTCGCTACCCGACAGCGCAGCCACTGTTACAACAAATCCCATGAGAGCTCTCGCAAAGCGATCTTGGATATACTGTATCTGTTTGTCTAGTAACCATGGATGAGCAGTACTTTTCAAGATGCATTGTAGGAAATTTCGAGTCCACAATTTTTTCATCCGCTAGACCTTAGGACACTAATTTAAAATGCCGTAACCGCTATATAGGCGGACATTCAGACACACCTTTAGAGGGTCTAGGGAACAGGACTGGGTCGTGAAGCTGGTTGCTCGATGCTGATTGGCTAACCTGATTAAGGATTTTTGACTGGCAGTTTCCAGACAGTGAGAAGGTTTTCCTCATGAGTTGGGAGGGAAAAGTGATAATTCAGTCATCGTGCTGAACTCTTGCTGTGGTTTCATGAGTTTATTATTTCAGAGCGCTTCACAACAGCTATTTTCACCTTTTGTACTGATGTGTTTTTTGTATTTCAACAACTGTCAAAGCAATATGTGATGTTTAGATTTAATTAACACCATCAAGCCTCTCCTGAGACTAGCAGCTGCCATTACTTCAATAAGCCAGTCGTTATCTCTGCTCTCTGTAACCTCATGACTCTTCAACATAATATGAAGAATCTGGAGATTTTGAACTGGAGATGAACCAACACAGTATTTTTAAGGCCGATACCGATGCCGATAATTTTGACATCAGTCTAACTGATCCCTGCACTGCAAAGAATTAAAATCTTTCTTGAAAAATAACTGGGGGGTTACTAAGCAGGTAAAAGTGAGACACTTTGCCACTGAATTAGACAATTTATATTTAAAATAAGAAAATAAATTGCATTGCCTTATTTCAAGTTCATAATGTTTTATCTTATTTTAAGAGTAATATGACTAATTCCATTTTCAGATCATTTTATTTACCTGCTCAAATTAAGGGTAATTACACTTATGTTAAGACATTTTGGCACATTTTAAGACAGTTTTGCAGTGTGATATTTACTGACGACTTTTAGGGGCCAATTTTTGATGCCGGTTTGTTTTTTTCTTCCTCCATTTACATGGTAGAAATGACCTAAGATAAGACTGGTTACACAAGTCTCAATTCAAAGAAAAAAAAACATTATTAACAAACCAAAAAAAAAAAAAACATTAGCACTGGATAGCAATTTGTGGGAGGGGCAATGCATGAGTTTCACTGCTCAAAGCAATAATGAATCAGCAAACTCATGCATGATTTGGCTGATGCAGATACAAAAAAAAATGCTAATCCTTAAAAATAATCCTGACTAACTCTTATTAATGTTTTTGTTTTCTGAAACCTGAAGGGTTACTTTACTCAAAGATTTTTCAGCGCGTTACCTATTAGAGTTTTCACCCTAAATGCAACAGGATCCATGTAACTTCATAGTAGATTTTTTTCTTATAGTAGTAATACAGCAATAATATCATCTTATATGTATCAATAAAATATTAGTCTGCCAAGTAAACTAATATTCTATATTTAAACGTAAGAAAATGCATCTTTGCTCCACCAACTGGTAGAAAGGGGTTTGTTTGACCTGATTGTTAAGACAAATTATAGGGAATTTGTACCCAACAGGCAATGGTGCTGGTAAGGTGGGTCGCAACTCATTGGTTTTTCTTAAAATTCCAAGCTAAATAATGAGATTTTAAAAATGTTTGACTTCGTAAATAGCATGTGTTAAAGCGCTTCCCTCTTTGCTTTTAATCCACGTGGACAATTTTACGAGCAGCAATATGCCTTAGGTGTTGGAAGGCAACAGCAAAATGTGTGTGGCAAGATTGGATAAAAACCAGCCAGAAACTTCAGCTTGTTTACTCTATAAAAGCCTTCATAACAATTACCGGCCACATTTAACTGTGGGCTATAAAGTTTGATTTCACTTTAAGACCAAATTGAAATATTTAGAAAAAATATATATTGCTTAGATTGAAATTACTTTTCTATACCTATTATTCTAGGATTTTTTCTCCTTCTTCAGATGCTGTTATAGTGAAAATGACTTAGCACTCTGGTCAGTCAGCAGGGAACTACTGATTGTTTTCAGGTGTTTGGTCTTTGTTTGCATTTGAGCAAACAGTTTAGTTAAGTTGTTGATCCACTATATGAAGCTGTTGCTTATAAGGACAATCTGGAATTGTTCAGAATGAAGAAATCTCTCTGAGAAAAGATGAAAAATTTCAGCTAAGAACAATTATTTTTTTCTTTTAATCCACCTATCAGTCCCTTAGTCATTATATTACAATTATTGAGAAACATGTTGTAGTTACTGTAAAAACTTCTTCTGAAACCAGTTGAACATGAACACTGACAGATAAACAAGAAACAAACTGGAACACAACAAATAACCCGCAAAAAAAAGAAAAATCTAAAGAACAAATCCACTGCATACTTTCTAGATATATAAAGAAAAAATATTCTCAGCGTAACATTTCCTTCCTTTCTCAAATCTGTTGTCCAACATTTAATTGAAGGGCTTCCATGTCCGTCAACATCTCTGAAAAGTGAAATCAAAGCCTTTCCTCTCATAAGGTTTAATAAAAGTAGATAAGCACTGTGAAATGCCCCAAGCTCAGATCAGTTTTGATTACAGTTTGTTTTCATATTAGTTATTTCCAAGAATTATGGCTTTACTGAGGAGAAAATAGGCACTGAGCCAAAATGTATTTACAACACGAATTAGATATGCTTTCACTGTGGATAGTTTTTTTTTCTTTATTGCGTTTCAACAAAAAAAATTTTGTTTCTTTACAAGTATCCCCAACATAAACAGCCTGAGTGTACATTCTGTGCAGATGCTGATTAACAGAAATCCAGAAAGCCAACATGTAGGGCAGCTCTTATGGCAATGTGTAAACCATCAACAACTCTCCATTCATTGTACATCCAACATGTATGTGTCTAAAACATGACTGTGTCCACAACAAACAATAACAGATAGCTAAAGTTCTTGAAATTCTTACAACAATGTTCTCTATACAAACTCAGCTGTGCACACTGATAAAACTGAATGTAACAAGAGAGAATGTAAAGAGTCAAAATAATCGCAGAGCAATTTTCAGCATCTTTGAAATCCAGCATCACTCAGTAAATCCCACACATACTTTCTAAATGAATCACGACACACAAGGAAACAAGAAATTTCTTTCAGGGGAACATCTTCAGGTCGTGTCTGCTGTCTTGATTAAGCCCGTCACGTTTCAGATCCCACAATGCACTGCTCCCTAGCAACTCTGTCATAATCTGATGGATGTCTTTAATTAGTGCCGATTTCGACACCGTAACTCACATCAAAATAAAAAAAGGAAAAGAACTCCCTGCCTCACACAGGCATGTGTGTCCACAAACACACTTTAATAACGCTGTTTATTGAGGATCAGCAGAATCTAATCAGTAGGGACCAATGCTGATATGTTAATAGGTCATAATAGATTCATATGTCTAAAGAAGTAGGTAGAAAATAATATTCTGCAAAATAATCTAGTCCTTTTTGTCAAACTGTATGGTTTTTTTTTTCTGTAAACCAATACGCTAAATAAATACTCTCTTTGAAGAAAGCTGGCAGACAATTACATAGAAAGTAGCACCAGCTAATCAGTAGTTCCTCCAACTGATTAGTTTGAGAGCTTGTAGGTAATTTTTTAATAGCCCCAGACAAACATAGCAGGAAACAGAAAGTCCGCAGCCTTGAAATAACTTCCCAGCAGTCATAGCCCCAGCTAGGGTTGAATCCATACAGCTTCCCACCTGTTTGAAATTGGAAGCCAAAACATTGTGTTCTTCAGAATACTGAAACCTCTCACTGTCTTTGTTGGAGAGAAAAAAAAGGATGTCTCTGATCTACGCCATAATGTCTGTCCTGATTGTAGTCAAAACTTGAGAAATATATAACAGTTTAACAATACTCTGAAACCTCGTTTCTAGATGTTATGCTTGGCTGGAGAACTTACATTCTCAAACCAGATAACACATTTCCCGTCTGCGAAAAAAATTTTGTCGAATTCAGCTCTCATCCATCATTAGTGACACTGAAGTTAATAACAGTTGGGAGGGTGAATGATTTATCAGATCAGCACTCATGGCTCTTAACATTTAAGTTCTACATCTCTAAAAATGTCAGATGTTAAAGCATATTCTCATTAATATTAAAGTTGCAAAAAAATATCAGCTAATCTTTTTAGACTGCTATTTAAAGTTGGTCAGCTGTGACAAGTCTAAATGGATGATACTAAAATGTTGGCAATCGCAATGTACTACAACTGAACTGTTTTTTTGTCAACACGTAAACAGCAGTGGTCTTCCAACTAGATTCATGAGCCAAAACCACGTCAAACCACAGCGAATGATGCCACTGACATGTATGCATATTACAACCTTTATTATATAAACACACTTATTGTCATGCATTATTGCCATTTATTGCTTTATATTTTTTATGGCTGTTATCTGCTTAGGTCCACCAGGCTTGCTGTACACCGGTGTTTTATTATTTGTATTGCTCCAAAGGACAAATTAGTGACCTCAGGAGACTAGATCAAAGGTTAAGTTTTATTACATTTTAAGGAAAAAAACAGAAACATTTTATGTGTTTAAAGGTTATCCTTTGGTCATATTCAAGATGCCTTATTGTATTTTTTTATTTTAAAGTCCTCAAGTCAGAAGTATTTCACTATTTCCTCATTGATGAAGTCTTAGTGAATATTATAATTGATTCTAAGAGCTAGAGGTGTAGACTTAGGTCATGTGACTTTTAGAATCAAGGCGGTCTCAAGTTACAAATTCAGTGACTTTAGACGTATCATATAAAAATAAATCAAGCAGACTTTGAACCTGGCTCAGACTTTCACACTAATGTCTCTTGACTTCCCTTTTTTCTTGAACCCTTTGACTTAAAAAAAAAATGAATGAAGAGAATGTGTGTAAAAAACAAAATTTCAGCCACACATCAATGAAATCATGCCATGTTATCCCTCCCCCCTCCCTTAATTTCCCAGTATTTACTCCTTTTGTTGGTACTATCACCATGCTGGATTTACTGTTCTGTTTACCTGCTCTTCTCCTAATGACAGAAAGGACTCAGGCCATGGAAGAGACATCCCGTCATCCAGCACTATCAGGGAGATCTGTGCAAAGATTGAAAAGAAAAGAACAGCTGCATGTGGCTTCAACCAAACAAACAATGCAGCAAAATTCAGTACCATGTTAACTCCCTTTCAGTTACATTTTAAACCCAGGTTCACTGGTCTATTACAGCTACTTTGTATTTAAAGGTTTGCCACAAAAATCACCTAAAAATCCCAGAATACCATGTACCGAGGCCTTAGTCCTCGACGTGGCCGACCCAGTTTCGACTCCGGCCTGTGGTCCTTTGCAGCTTGTCACTCCCCCTCTCTCATACCGCCTTTCCTATCAGCCTCCTGTCCACAAAAAAATGAGCCACTACTGCCATAAAAACTCAAAACTAAATCCCAGAATGCACCTCTGTTCCTGCTGCTGCATCATACAAACAACACCATAGCCACTGGTTTTAAACATTTTTCATATTTCTGTCATGTAGAACTCAGAATGTATGTCAACCATAATTTTCTCTGTTTATGATAAAGTTTTGATCTAATCTTTTCACTTTTTTTTTAGACTCACTAATTGGTAACTTAGGCAATGAATCAAAGCAGAGAATTGAGGCGCACATTACCTTGTGGAGAGTATTTATACTCTCATCTTGGCAGCCAAAGGTGATGCTAACTTATTTGAATGTCTTATCTATTAAAGCTGTGTGTGTGTGTGCTGCAGAGATCTGCAGCTTAGGTGGGATAATCTATTGACAACTCAAGTATTAGTTCAGCTCTGCAAAAGTGTGGTCATTTTGAGAATGAAAGAAAGTCCTTAGTCCTTAAAACCCTGAATTTATACACTTGTGTTTTGCTGTCAATTAGGTGATAGATTAAATAGTTTTTTTTTTTTTTCAAATCAACATTGCACCTTTAATTAGTGTGAATTTGTTTAAGAAGCTAATGACTAAACTCTAAGGACTGACATGAAACATTTCATCTTGACATTTCAAATAAACCTAATTCATGCAAAAGTTGACTTGCTACACAGTGTCGTGACTTGTAAGGCCTTTCTTTGCAATAAGAAATCAGTGTTAGGAATTGGATGACAACATGTGTTCTTGAATAGTTAGTGTTTTATTTATTAAGGTGTTTTAATTTAACTAAATTCTTTAAAATGTGTTTGCTGCACCTTCCCATAATTTGCTATCTCATTGTTTGGACAAAACAAAACTGTATTAGAATTATAATTCAAAAATTTCTTTTGGACAACCATTGCTTTTCTTTTATTTTGAAAGGTCAATATATTAAGTATTGAAACATTATCTTACTTTACAGAACTGGAAGCTTTTGTCTGCAATGTTTCATTATTTAATCTTGTATTAAGATATGAAAATATATGGTTAATTATTTATATAATTTTACATAAATAATTAATAATTATTTATATAATTAACCATATATGGTTAATTATTTATACTTTATGGGCTGCTCAGTGGAGCAGTGGGTAGCACTGCCTTGCAGCAAGAAGGTTCTGTGTTCGATTCCCGGCCCGGGGTCTTAACCGCATGGAGTTTGCATGTTCTCCCTGAGCATGCGTGGGTTCTCTCTGGGTACTCCGGCTTCCTCCCACAGTCCAAAAACAAGATTGTTAGGTTAATTGGCTTCTCTAACTTCTCCTTAGTTGTGAGTGTGTGAGTGAATGGTTGTTTATCCTGTTTGTCTCTGTGTTGCCCTGTGATGGACTGGTGAAGATGGATGGATGGATGGATGGATGGATGGATGGATGGATGGATGGATGGATGGATGGATGGATGGATGGAAAAAAGCCTTAAACTGACATTGTACTCAAATTAATCAGATTACAAATTTTACTTATCAGCTGTAGCCAATGAAGAAGACAGTTATCCAACCATCCACAAAGAAAACTGCAATAGATGTAATAAAAACACTCTAGCACTTTCCAGGTCACTATATAGTAGAGTAAATAGGGCACCGGGACACTGACCTGCCAATCAATTTTAAACCATTACATTAAAACAATGAAAGACTCAGAACAGTTGTTAAATTTAAAAAAACTCAAATAAACCAGCAACAATGCTGTATCCTGAGAGCTTAAACTACAATCATGTATGTCTTGTTTAATTTAATTTTAAGTTTTAATGTAATAAAGAGCTTACCAGAATCTCTTTCACAACTGGCCTCCACTGACTTTCAATGGGATAAAACCGTCAGATCATTTGCATAAACAAAGAAAAGGACAACCATATTTCCTATGCATGAGCTCCAAAGGAAACATATACACAGCGAAAAGTGAGGGCCTTCAGAGGAGCAAAATCCAGCCAGTTGTAAGGAAAAACCTCTGCTAGAGAAACAATTTAAGTACTGCGCCCTTAAACCCAAAAGACTGACCCAAGCATCATGGTCCACCGTGTCAAGAAAGCAGGATTATAACACAAAAATCTCTTGAGTCTCCAGGTAATAGCAGACCACTAAAACTCTAAGGCAAGCTGTTTTTAAACTTGGACGTAAATTTGTATTTTCTATGAGGGACAATAGATGCATTTATATTCTCTGCTACATTTTTACAAAAGATCCAATATATATCGGTATTGTATGGTTATTGGCCAATATTGATTTAAGAATATCAAGATTGGCCCAATATGTAAAACTAGACCAATATTATCAACCAATGTTTATTTCTGCTGTCAGTTTTTCATTGTGTTCAAAGGGTAGAGAAACATATGATATATGGTGAATATTGTTTATTGGTCATAATGGCAAAAATAATATTGTTATTGGTTTAGACTTTAATATTGGTGCATCCTTACTTTTTTTAGAATATTTCTCCCTAACTGGGTCAGATCAGTTTTTCTAAAAATAAAATATATATATATATATGATGGCTTCATACTGTAATTCCTTGAAGAACTTCTTATAATTCAGGATTGCATCTAGTATCGGAGCAGACCTGTGCTTTAAGATTTTCAAGCTTTTTGGACCATTTGTCAAATACCTATGTGTGAACGTGTGTGTCTGTGCCCAAGTAAGTTACCTTGTGAGGACAGTGCAAGGCTAATTTCCCAGGAACATGCAACTTTTTGGAGACTTACAGGTACTCAACAGTAATACTTTTTGACACAGCTGGTCAATGCCACAACCCGACCTTCCCAGCAGCAGAACCACCTAGCACCAGGCAGGAAAAACCTCACAAGTGTTCCAAACCTGATAGGCAGCCATTAGCAGAGGCAAATGGCTTCCCCTCAGACAGGTCATGGGAGCAAAGACACAACTAAATTGTGGGTCCACCTCTGTTGCCAAAGCAAAGGAAACCTTAAAACCTAGTTTACCACCAATGAATCCACAATGTTACAACATAACCCAAGCACCCTGCAAAATCACCACCCCATCAGGCTTCCCTCCTTTAACCGCATTAGAGCCAAAATACCTAAGCTGAACCAACATTCTCCTCTGAGTCATTGCGGGTGTGTAGGGAAGTTCAAAATTAAATTCTCAGGGAGTTCATTTTGAAGCTGGAAGGCTGTTTGCTTTGTATCTGAAGCTGGAAGGCTGTTTGCTGTGTATCTCTTGGAATTTGGTATGGAATTTCAACAATCCCAAAAAACGACCTTGATGAAAGATTAAAGATCTTTGAACAAAAAAAAAAATGAACAAAAACAACCAAAAGTGAATTTTCAAAAGTGAATTAGGTGTTTGTTGACACCTAAACATTTGTGTTCGGTTTGCCTGGGTTCATCAGAGTTCTCTGTGTCAATCCTTCATCTTCCTGCAAAACTATCTTCATCATTCCGCAGCAAATTTCAACACTTCTCTGACTGAATGCTCAAAAGCGCGTCTACAATAAATATCAATTGAGATTCTATGTATTTATTGTTTATTTTATAATTATTGGTGAGAATATTAAATGTTTTAATGTCATTTTTGAGTTAAGTTCTACAAAGTGACACAGCAAAAAATGTTGAGGAAAATCTCTAGGCCAAATAAGAACGCGATGGACCTGCACATGCCGATAACTAACCCTGCATGCTATTTTGTAAAATGGCCTAAAACATGGAAGTGGCAGCATCATGATGCATGAATGTTTTTCATTATCATTAATAGATGGAGCTGAACACAGGGTAATCTTGACTGTGAGCCTGTAAGATGCTTATCTTATGTTATACAAAAACCTTTCAATCTGAAAAACTCACACGGAAAGAAAAGACAATTAGAAGAGTTTTATTGATACTATTACTTAAGTCTTTGGTGCTCATACCTCGGAAGGAAACACTAGCGCAGAATTTGCTTTGTTATGCATAAACAGGAGTGGAGAGGATAAAGTTGGTCAGTCCATGATTGCTGGCTGGCGAGACTGTGTGGGCTGCATGAGCTGATACTAGTGCATCACTCTGGGATCTGGAAGTCCATCTTGGATAACACTGGAAGGTAAACCTATCCATGATTAGCAAGCATGAAGTGACAGTGGAGAGGAAAAACTCCCCTTTGGGAAGAAACCTCTGGCAGAACCAGGCTGCCTTTTGTGAAATTGAGTCCTTTTAAGATGAACTATGGATGCTGGCTGATCTGTGACAAAGGTGAATAGTAATGGTTTCCGCCTAGGCTCCATTTTTAAAAACTCCAGACATAAATTCAATAAGCGATCTCTACCGGTGCCCTTTCAAGATACTCTCCATATTATTAGTCTGGGCTTCAGCTATTTTGTAAAGAAGAATGGGCAAAGATTGCCGTTTCCAGATATGTCAAGCTTGTAAATACATCTCCAATAAGACTTGTAACCAAAATTGTGGCAGTAGATGATCAATATAGATGAACAACAGCCTGCCCCACTATCGACTAAGGGCAGACTATTGAGTTTTCTGAGTTGAAATTTGGTAACATTGTGTTATTTTTGTTTCACTACTATGTAATAGTTTAACAATTTGTGAAGTTTTTCTTTTCTTTTTTTTTTTTACAATACTACATTTTATGATTAATGGTGTAATCATAGCAAATAGTATAAACAGCTGCACTGAAAAAATGACCCAGAAATAAGTCAACATTTCTTAAATTAAGTGTATTTACCCTACCTTTGGGCAGGTAAATAAGATGATCTGCCAATGGAATGAGCATTTTTACCCTTAAAATAAGATAATTAGATAATATGCACTTGAAATAAGACAATGCAATTGTTTTTTCCCCTCATTTTAAATGTAAATTGTCTTTTTCCATTGGCAAAGTTTCACAATTACCTCCTCACTTCAAGAAAAAAACGCACTTATTTTAGGAAAACAATGACTTGTTGAGATTTACATTTTTTACCAGTGTCATGTTGTGAGATGTAGAAAAAAAAAAATAGGATAACATCAAAGCTTCATGCACAGTGTAAGCATGACAACCTTAAGCAATTACGCAATGCATAAATGACATTTGACCAAAAGGCAATAACACTGATGGTTTTATAATCCTGTATCAGTGCAGGATCACACTAGTGCTTGAATCCACTACTCCCAGAGAGATTTATGAAGTCTGCAGCTCCCGTTCAGTGCGCAGTGCATCAGCAGAGCGCCAGCAGCTGGCTCAAAGGACGAACAGCAGGTTGCCAGACTGAGCCTCAGAGCTATTTTAAACCGATTTCTCTCGTTCAAAAAAACGGTGATGTCAGCAGAGACTGGTCTACTTGTTGGATGAATCTCATTCATGTGGTAGTAAAGTCCTCTCTTTGCGAGGACGGAAGTTAAGTCACATGCGCATTGACAAGCTGGAGGGCTGCGTAATGGAGATCGTGGGAAAGGACAATAATTTGTGAACTGCGTACGGGAATGTCAGGAGGGAAGCGTTCGTTTGATACCCCGTGAGGGCACCCAGGTGAATCATCTGAGCAGCAATGAAGACGCACCTAGCAGCGTCTGTTTCCAGCTTTAGCGCGCACGGACTATGAATGAGGAATGACCAATGGTAAGTAAACCTGGGCTTCTTAAGCGCTCTAAAAACCAATCCGTCGGTGACGCACAACAGAAATTTACCCCAATTTAAATGCTAGGATAATTTTAACACCCAAGATTACGAAAAAAATGTAGTTTAGATAAAAGGCGTTCATTAAAAGGAAGGTGGAATGCAACATTACAGTGAAACTTACCCGCAGCCACAAGCGTGCGCAACCGTCTCTCTGCCTTCTCAGCCGAGCGACTGGCGCAGTTGCTTTAGGTTGTGGACTTAAATGGCTTTCCAAACAGGGGAATTCCGTATGAATTACTTCCCATCTGCCAGTCAGAAGGAAACTGATAGTTTCGGGATTTAGTCTAGTTAGGAAAGTTGTTATCAGGTTTAGAGGACGCGCCTAATAATCCTCGCCAGCTGAGATTTACGACAGTGGAGTTAAGAGATAATCACAGGTAGACATTTATATGAAAATAACCTGTAAGAAAAAAAAAACGTGTAATGCAAAAGCGTGGGAAGAATGACACTTATTTCTAAATACATTACATAAGAGCCTACTAGTTCTGGTGAATACCTTTTATCAGATTTTAGGTTTAAGCCTGGTTAAAACCTCATTTGGTAACTCCAGCCTTTACAACTGGAAAAGTGTATCAGTAAAATTGAATGGTTGTAGCTTTGTTAATGTTAAGCAAAACAAATGTTTTCATTAAATGCATCAGATGACCTACCTTTACATACTGTAGGCTATAGAGCTGGAGCGGTGCGACCTATCTCTCTTTGAAGTGCGCTAAAATATTGCTAAATTATTGTAAGTAGGTGTACTAAATACAGGAACTTACAGCTATGCTGATGCACATTCTAAAGTAGCTGCATCCCATTCATTTTCCCCCATTGTTTAAAAGAAAGCCTTAACATTAGTTGCTAAATATATTACAGCAGTTTTTTGTTTGTTTTTTTCGTTTTTTTACAAGGATGTTCTTTTTTTTTAAGGTGACTAAAAGTTGAGTTTGTAAACCTTCCAGGTTCTGTGTGATAAGTAAAAGCTTCATATTCCTAATAACTGGTTTTGCCACCCTTGGTAGGATATGATGTTTGCAAAAACTTGTGAATTGTGAAGGAAGTTTGGTCCACTTTTTTTTTTGCAGAGCTTCCCTGATTCAGCTCCCCTGTTGTTGTTTTTTGTATAAACAGCCTGTTAAAGGTCGTGCTACAGCATCACATAAGTATACGGGACTTTGACTAGAGCACTGATTCCCAAAGTTGGGATACACACTTATATTAAACTGGACAATATAAACGATAACTGTTTTTTGCTTATATAGATAAAATATCACAGCCATCACCTTGATTAATGCTGTTTTTGTTACTATGGGTACCTGATGAAATATTTGTATACTGATCTATATTTTTATGTCCATTCCAGTATAGCATTCCAGTATTATTTTGTAGGTCAGAACCCTTAATGTTTGGAAACCACACTGTTCCAAAACCTTAACGTGATGTTGTTTCCTACAATTCAAAGCAGAAATGTCCTAAATGTTTTGGCACACTGTCCTTTCTTTGTAGCCAAACTAATTATTACTGGATATTCTCCTTCAATTGATGCTTCCAGTGTTTATGATAAATTATCTATGTCCTGAAACAGCAATCTAGACTGTCACGCCATGTTGTTTAAAGGCCTTGCTAGTTTTACACCAGCTGTAGAGGAATATGCAGATTCAACAAGGTTAGAATTATGTCTTCCCGGTCCGCAGAGTTTTTCTTTAAAGGCCTCAGGTATCATCAAGATGATGTATCGCATACTGTATTTGACTCAGAGCCTTTTTTTTGTAATTTTCGGTCAGTATTATTAATCATTGTGAAACTCCCTGTTTTGTGGCATTTTTGACTTTTTTTTCCCACAGTTTTCACAGTGCTGCCCAAACTAGCAGATAGTGTCCACTTCCTATAGCACGTTTTGGAAGTTTTTAAGTGGTATTATAAAATACAAACAAAGTCTTTTGTTCTTTAGATTGAGACTGAGTTAAATGTTGCTTAAACTACAATATGAAGTAAAACATGAAAAAGAAGGCTTGCCTAAAGATGAATGTTGTATCAGCACTGAATCATGGCTCTGCAGACATGATTGAATAAATAAGAATTATACTTTACTTGATTATATCTCTTAATTGAGTTTTGTATGTAACAACAGTGTGAAAAGTACGCTTTGTGTTTTTAATAATATTTGTGCAGATGTGAAGTTCTTAATGCAGCCCTGTCTTGAAACTAATAAGGTTTTATTGCAGCTCTATGCAATATTTCAGTTTCTTTTTTTTGTTTGTTTGTTTGATTGTTTTTTGTTTTTTTCAAATTGCAATTTAAATATATTGAATTGAGTAGTGAAGTTTTATCCCCAGTTGATCAAGCTGGAAGCTAAGAGTGTTTCATTCATCTGTGCATTGCCAGATAAAGGAAGTGAGATACTAAGGACACAAAATATCCTGGCATTTCAGCACTTACTGGGGTTTAATGTTGCAAAGAGCTTGCTCCAATTTTACATGCATGTCATTTGATTACTCCAACATTTTAAGGTCATGCCAATTTCGATAAAGTACCTTACTAGTTTATGCATCAATGTCTCTGAATTTTCTGTTTGCATTATAGATTAAAAACTAGTTTACTAACTTTTCTTTATTATTCTCTTCTCCATTTTCCCCACATATATTGAAGCCTCTTCTTTGCATCAGTCTCCTTGTTCTTGTGCTTCTACCACTGTCACTCTGCTGTGACAAAAACTTATCGGCATTTCAAGACCTTAGTATGATTTTACCAGCACAAATGGAAAATATCGTAAGTATCAATGAGTTCAAAGAATTTTTGGATGTTGTCTATGAAAGAGGGACAAAAATCTCACTGAACAAGCAAAATATATTTCAATTAGTTAAGAATTTTGTGTCAGTTTGTTTATTTTGAGATTAGGTAATTAAACTTTCCAGAAAGATACAAACGAATCATCCTTTTTTTGATATTGCAAATTGGAAGATTTATTGCTAAATCTCCGAAAGTAATATCTATTTTTTTATTATTACTGCATATTTATTATTTTTTGTAAAAACCCTGGGTTAAAACACAGTGATGGTTATAATTAGTAATTGTTGTTTTTCTAATGAAATAAAACGAAAATGAAATTTCCAAGACCCAGTTAGAAAAACTCTAAATACAAGTAGAGACGTTGGAACAAATTTGCTAAAACTGAAGATGAGACTCTAACAACAGCATAGGTAACCTAATATTAGAAGAGTCTAGGGTGTGTGTGTGTGTGTGTGTGTGTGTGTGTGTGTGTGTGTGTGTGTGTGTGTGTGTGTGTGTGTGTGTGTGTGTGTGTGTGTGTTTGTGGGGTGGGGGGGTCCCCCGATATAGTGACTAGTTACCTGTTATGAAAGCGAGTAAACCAAGACAAGGTAAGAAAACAAACTAACTGTTACTTTTTAATTTATTTAAGAGGAAAAATCTGACAAAGGAACTGAAAGACATATCCTGCCAAGAGCTGAAAAACAAAGTGCCAAACTGTACGGTGCAAACAGAGGAAGCTGTGAGTATAACTTGAGTTAGAGATTTGGGCACACCTTCTATCCTCCTTCAGGCGTGCCTGATCTTTTCACTGTGACACTACAACCCAGTTTTTGTAATTCCTTTTTTTTCCTTCCTCCTTAAAGAATGCAGACCTTTAGAAACAGAAACAATTTGTACAAAGGAGCCCTGTTTCTGTAATACAAGCGGAAAGTTTTTTAGTGAAGTTGCTGATATATAATTGAATGCAAGTGTCCAAACCATCATCTTCTACACAGTTACTTTTTTCTATTTATTGTAGGTTAACATAAAGTGGGGACTCTAGCAAAATGAATGCAGATCCCACTTTCTTGCAGAAATATTAGCAGTGACTCACATATGATTTTCCTGCAGGATATCATGGAAACCTTGTTCTTGCAAGCCTGTGATATGCTTCGTCTTCAACCGATGAAACAAATGGCTGGAGATATCCTGACGTCATTAAAGCGCCATTGTCCTGTAAGTGCCCAAAGAGGAAATCAAACATGAGAATGTTTTTTTTTTTGTTTTTTTTCCTATGTGTTGATCTCTTCATGAGATGTGGAATTTATAATATTCAAACGAATGTTGGCAGGCTATTCTGTTTCCTTTTGTCAGGTAGAGGGTGACTCATCGTTCCTTAGTCATATGTTACTGGTTCATTTTCATAATGTATATGAACTGGCTTTTTGCTGCTTTGAACTAGGTAGAAAACATCCAATTCTCAGCTGGAAACTGAGAATCATGTGATTGTTTCATTTTATGTTTTCCTTTTATGTCGCCTTTAATTGTCTTCTGACTTTAGCTGCTATATAAGAAAATGTGAAACAGCACTCTAAGGTTCTTTCTGGACTTAATGAAGCCAAGATCACGTTTCAGCAAAATGCTACCAATGGTTCCTCCTCTCACTAACAACCTTAGAGGGCTGGTTTTCCACATTTTTTCTTGTGCATTAACTCTAACACTGTGCACCAACCGGCTCTGTCCTTTTTTTTCTTTTTGGAGTTGTGCGCACTTGGTTTACTTCTATTGTTGACTTACTCTTATAATTAAAAGTTAACATACAAGCATGGTTTTTAACTAATACATGGTGGAAAATGTCTCCTGTTGTCCCTGGATAAGCTTTATTTACACTACTCTCATGCACACTGTTTTAGCTGTGCGGAATTTCTATGAGATTTGATGATGCAGCCTCATTGTTGAAGTCTGAGTCATGAGCTTTATCAAAGTCAAAGCCTTTGTACTTCAACAGGCTTTGTACTATTGCCTCACATTGTGGCATGGTTTAAGAACTTCTTTATTTGATCTTAGACTAATTTATGTATTGCTGTTTGGATTAACACAGCTGATTTATAAGGTAGAATAATCCTGACCTGGTTGGTTGATTTAATCAGCCAGATATCCCTTTCTATTTTTGTCTGTGAGCGTAAGAAATGTATGAATAAAACACTTTATGTTTTATTCCAGTAGAATGATCATATATTACCTTTTTCTTTTTTTTACTACCTTCATCAATAAGTATGTTTTCAGTTTTGTTTGGTGGGTTTGTTAGTTAGCAGGATTAGTTGAAAAGTTCTGAACAGATTTTGATGACAATTTTAACGGGAGTGTGCCTCGTGCCAAGGAATGATTCATTCAATTTTAGTGATGATCCAGATCATTAATCCAAGTATAGGAAATTTTTAAAGGATAGTTTGTGAGATATGGATATTTGGAGGAACAAGCTGTTCCCCTAAGAACCAGAGCAACTGTGACCATTGACAGCTTCAGCATCAGATCAAAAAGTCCTGAATTATTATTCCGAAGAAGTCAAAGTCTCCATTTGCTGATCAACAAATAAAGCACAGTGCAGATCAAATGAAGAAGGCGAGAGCAGAACAGGCACCAAAGAAACACGCCTTTCCTTGCTTGTAGACAGATTTTAAGGACATTTTTCAGAGGTGCGCCTCACGCCAAGGAACTATTCATTTAAACCTGGAAATGATTATTACTATAGTTGCAAGTCATAATTTGTGGCAAACTCTGCGGCTCTGAGTGCTCTTGTGAATTCGTTTTTTGCTTTATTTGTTTTTACTGATATTATCTAAACTTTGCTTTATCTACGTATATAGCACTTTGGCCTCTGTGTATGTTTTAGGTGCTCTATAAATAAAGTGGATTGTTTTGGATAGGCATCCGTATGAAGTTCTCGTCTGGGGTAAAAACTCAGCAGTTGACAAAATAAAACAGGTAAAAGATAAAGTATGTATAGTGCTGCAAAATATTGGTTGTCTTTGGATTACCTTGAATTACCTTTAATTCTTCATTTAAATGTTTCATATGTTACAAATAACCTAAATAGTTTTTTTTTCTAATAGGGAAAGGTATAGTGACCTTCTTTCAGTCAGCTGGCTGGCAGTGGGGGTGGACAGGGAGGAGCAGTGCTACCTAACTCTATAATCTATACAAGTCTTTGGCATCTCATTAAAAAGGAACTTTTGTGAGAATGGTACGGCGTTTTCACAATTTCCAATCCACAGAGCTGCTGATACATGGTTTTCTTTAATGCATTGTAGGCTGCACTATTAAAAAATGGGGATTAGACAAAAATTTAACTTTAAAGCTGAATAGATTTTTAGGAAAACCAAAATTCCCTGTTTTTTGCCTTTGATTCTCTGCTAGTCGCAGGCGTCTGCATTTGGATCATGTTTTTCTACCACATATGCTACATTTGCTGTAATGTCACCTTACATAATAATATTTCCAACCATGCTTAACATTAACTTTTCTTTTTTTTTTCTTGTCATTTCAATTACCTGTAATATGTTGCTTATACCTGTCAGACTATACCTTATGCGTATAAGAGCGGTACAAGAGCCGTCATGTGCAAAAGTAAACGCAATGAAATATGCGTTATAGTCCAACTGCCTAACTGAAGCTATTTATTGCGTGAACAGCTGCTGTGTGGCAAACATAAAAAAAGACAAAGGAAATTCTTTGTTGTGTTTTTGAGAGATCTGACTGCCATTTTACCATATTTGACTGTGTGGATGCTGAGACACAGAGAGCAATGATGGAGCAGGGATGTTAACAACTTTCCAGATTACATTTATTCAGCACTGAAACATTTCAAAGCAGCTTTTAATCATGTATGTCAGCACCTTTCCTCTCAACTCCAAAGGTAGAACACTAGATGCACCCCAGTGTATGGGACTGCAACAAGTGCAGATTATCATATGCCTCTATACGTCCTCTAACTCTGTATATTAAGGAGTTTTTATGTCTCGCTGTTTCTCCACCGTGCAGTAACATTATTTGGTTTGCCAACTGCTACCACTTCTTATTGGGTTGCACAAAGTTGTGACAAATGCGACTTAGCCTTTGTCGTTCCTAGAACCAACATATGAATATAGCACGCGTGTGACCTGGAAATACGGAGCAGATCCAATGTTCATTAGCGCAAACAGAGCATCCGCATAGTTCAGAGTGAAACAATGTTATTACAGAGTCAGTGATGAGTTACCTGAATAGAAGTTGTATTAATCATGTATAAGTGTTGCATATTTGCAGTTGCATACATGGGCATTTTGCAGTTTTCCAACATGCCCAGAAAAAATCCAAGGCCCCCATATTTGTTGAGAGATTAATTTAAGTATGCAGAGGTTTCAAACATGTATACAAGACTGCAATAGATATTTCATTAAATAGCAAGACAGATTCTAGCTTATGTCTAAAATGTAGATATTCTTAGATTTGTAATGTTAAGACAATTTTTAAACTACACATTTGGTGTGTATGTATGTCCATTTTCCCTCTAGACTCATTTGTATCTCTATCTTTATTTAACAGACAAAACACCCCAAGTTACACAGAGGAGCGACGCCAAAAAACCGAGCGGGGAAGAAGATGAAAAAACTTTGCAAAGCTAACGCAATTCTGTCTTCCATGACTGTGTGCTACGAGAAGCTGAACATGCTATGCAGGACATGAGACCGAAACAAAAGAAAAGCTGCTGTCAGTCTCTCTGCACTGGGCTGTCGTTTCGGATTAAGCAAGAAAAAGCTTCCAGTTAATTCAAGCTTTCCTGTAAAATATCAGTGTATCCGTCTTGCTGCTGCTTTGGGAGTTGCACGACTACTGACTCTTGAGATCAGTTTCCAAGCTAAACAGAAACAAGTCACAAGCGAAATGAAACAGAACTGCTCTTCCAAGTCTGACAGACTGAACTTTCTCACGGTGTGTGAAGGAGGAGCCTTGAGCTTTATGTTTCAGGTGCTGCAAAGAGGAACTTATACAAAAGGCATTTGAAAACATTTAGACAGTGGTTTAAGATGTGTTCATTGAATAACCTATTTCAGAAGATTAAGTTAAAAAGAAGCATTCGTGTTTTTACTTTCGGGAAAAAAACCTGGAAATATGGTGTTCAAATGAAGTTTTGCTTTCACTTTGGAAAAGAATGGCCTGACTAGTCCCAACATATTTTTGTTATCTCTGTTATCTATAGCCGGTTGTTTTGGGCCATTTCACGTCATCAGCGCTGTCTTCAGTGACAATGTGTTCATTACCTGCTTGCAATGATTGATATATTAAAAGCATATTTTACCACAGATGGCTGAGTGCAGCTCAGAGGCCTTATTACTTATGTGGGAGACATCGGAGAGGCCTTTCCCACAAGTTTAACTTGTGTTTAATGATACTTTTTTCAGTTAAAAAAAGACAAGTCATGCTCAACCAGCAGCCGTGTAGTATTTGTATGAGAAATGTAAAATAATAATAATGTAGGAATTCAGCCTTTGCTCTTTTTCTCTACTACTACTCTCATTGCTTCTTTTTTTCAAAGGTACTTTAATGTAGCATTTTAACCAGATGAAAGGTTCATTTCTAAGTATATATATATATGTTGTATATGAGATTTCATTGGTTTCCCCTTCTATATTTATAATTAAAGATTTGTTTGTACCTATGACTCTAAATAATTTACTATAACATCCTTTAATTAAAAGGTCTTAGAAGCAAATTACGCATGAAATTACATATGTGAATTAAAGCAAGTAAAGCTCCAAAACTCTACATTGGAAATACAATTGTTTGCATTTGTTTTCTGTTTGTCAGAAAGGCATTGAGGAATATTTTTTAGGTGGAACTACTATTTTAAATGTCACCAACTCAGATTTATTGATGACTAAACAAAGAAGAAAAAAATATATATTTCGCCTTTTTTTTCCTAAATAAACACTGCAAAACACCATGAAACCCTATTTGAAACTCTGGATGAAGCCTCAGACTTTATAGATCCTCATCTTGACTATAACTCAAGCAAATTTGGAACTAATAAGTTGAAGCATATTCGTTCCACAAAGGTTTTAGTGAGCAGTATGCTAGTTGGAAATGTGATTTTGTCAAAGTGGTGCCAAAAGTGGCCAAATGCATTTTTCCACTCATAAAAGGGAATCTGGCAAGACAAATATGCTGATTTACATTATTGGAGACTTTATGCATAAGGCAAAACCTTCGCTCCTAAGATCTAGCCATTGTTTCATTGAAATTTGCAATTGAAGACACAATTCATCCTCTGACATGGGAGCTGGCTCAGAGCTCGTCTGTCATGGCTGTGTGTTTCCTGGACGGGGCCGCCTTTTGCAGCTGCTTTTTGTGTCTCTGCTTCTGTCTCCTTGAACCCCAGTCGGCCTCTGCAGATGGCCACTCACACTGAGCCTGGTTCTGCTGGAGGTTTCTTCCTGTTAAAAGGGAGTTTTTCCCTCTCCACTGTCGCTACAAGCATGCTTAGTGTGAGGGATCGTATTTGAGTCAATACAATCAACTGGTTTTCCTTGGATAGAAAACTGAATAAATTTGACTGTATGGTCTGGTGAACTGTAAAGTGCCTTGAGAGGACTTGTGTTGTGAATTGGCGCTATATGAATAAACTGAATTGAATTATATTACCAAACTGACTAGAAAATAAGAATAACACAGCAAGCTTGAAATGGTCTCACATACCTCGCGGAAAAGGTCTGAGCCTCTAGTTTCCATAGATACTTGCCATTGGGGGGTGGGGCTAAAAATGAATACCTGCTGTTACATTACTCCCGCAGTCATACAAGTCAGGTGGAATTTGTGAAAAGTATGTTTTAGAATTTTTAAAGCCCAATTTGAAAGGCATGTGGATGAAACACCATGTGACTGTGTTTAGGTCATTTCTATAAATAGATTTACATGAGCAGGTATCAGATGGGTCCAGTACCGGGCCGCTGGGCTCAAGGGGTTAAGGCCTCCATTTTCTTATGCAACAGTCAGAAAGGAAAACCAATCTTTTTAAAGACATTTATTGATGTTTGATATACATAGCAACAAGCGCACAACCAGATATAGTGTTAAATGCTGCTAACAGAGCGAAAAAAATCCAACTCGTTTGGTTTATTTAAATATTTCTAATTTTGTGACATGTTAATTTTTCTTATTGTAAAAAAAAAAAAAAAAAAGAACAAATAGTTTAGGCAGAACTCATAAACGTAGACTGAACTATAATGGGCTTAATAGTGACTCTACAAGAGGAATTTAAAAAAGTTGCAATGCAATGCATTTAAATGTTTTAAACAAATTTAAATAAACACAGAGACAAAATCCTCAAATCAGTTCATAAAAATGAAATCGATTAAGAAAATAAATAAACGCTACCATATAAAACACTGAAAAAGAGAGGGAAAGATTCAATGCTACATTTGTCTTTAACTGTAGTATTATTGGACATTTTGCCACTAAAATGAAATTAAATAGAGCGCTAAGCTTTTATATCTAATTTGTATTAGGAGTAGCCCCTGTCTAGATAAGAAGTGATATGCTACAACCTTTTTTTTTCCATTTTAAAAGCCAAGCTGCTTCTTTTTCAGTAGTCAGTGATATTGCACTTTTATATGAAAGCCTGTTTTTAGAGCGGAAAACTGAAAGAGTTTCAGGTTGGGACAGAAATTAAAGGGTAAATCAAACCCATCTCCAACAAGCTGCACTTCATCTTATTTTTGCAATTGTGCAAAATACTTCTAAAAGTGGATTTTCACACATTTGATCATCTCAGGATAGTAACGTTACTCACATAAATGAGAAGAGTTTTGCAAGTTCAGCAAAGCTAGGATAATTTGGTTAGGATCTGCACTCAGACAAAACAATCTAGTTGGGACTGTTGTCTTGTGCACGAGGCTTTAGCTGTGCACTCCAGCAACCAAAAAAAAATATCCAGCAGGGTGTGTGAAATCAAAAATGGAAAATTTATTTTTTGTCATTGTTTATCAGCTTTGGTGATATTCCTAACTGCAAATTGAGCACAGGTGCATCCCGACTTTCCTCTCCCTTCTCTGACTTTTGACCTCCATCAGATACACATCCTCCGGACCCCACATTCACAGCAAAATTTGGCCGATTCAACAGGGTACTGGGTTCCACAGGCGTGGCAGAATTTGCTCTTCAGTCCACCGTTTCCAGGGTCATTTCCACAGACGACGTCATTCCTGAAAAGTCAACAGAGGTGGAATAATTCAAATGACACTTAAATGAATGAGTCCAATATTTGTTCGAAGGTACCGTGTATTAAAAAAAACAGTCTCTTCAAACCAGTTAATATTGGAAACATAAATATGTAGGTCAACAGAGCTTGGATGGACGCAGTTCTGCAGAAACACCACAAGGGGGTGTTGAAGGTTGGAAAGTAATCCCACACATCTTGGTGAGTTTGAGGTGCTTTACCTAGATGTGTAGGTGTCAGCTTTCTTTTTGTTGGCTCCTATTCCAGAAGGAGAGTTCTTCACACATCCGTAGCCTCCACTTCCAACTCGGCTCTTACTTCCCACACTAAGAGAGGCAGAACACAGACAGGGATGTGACATATGCAAATCAGAGCGAGAAGCAGATCTAATCTTTATGGCTGCACACATGTAAAATATATACAAATCAGACGAACAACAAATTTCGACATTAAATAGACCATCAGTAGAGATTCAATAACAAAAGTAACTATATAATTTTATAAACCATAACATTTAAAGGCAACTGTAATAACTTTTCCCAGTGACATATCTACCATGAAAAGTAAAGTATTGCTGAACAACACTGGAACAATTGCATTATTAACTATGTTCAATCATATTTAATAAATTAGAAGATTATTAAGCTCATTTATTCTTTCAAGTCAAACACATCAAACAGATTAATTTCACTCCAACTGATTTTTTTAAGCCTTTATTGCTGTCGATCAAAAAGATTTCCTTCTTGCAGCTAATGAAATCAAAAATAATTAGGATTAAAATCTTACATTGAACCCAAAAAATAAATAAATGCATAAATCAAAGGTTTCAAGTTTTTTCTTAAAAGACACTTGACCTGTCACACAAACCCCATCAACGCTCATCTTCTGTCTCACAGAGGATGACTGTAAAATACAGTCAGAGCCCTGGACTCACCTGGATGGTGGGCTGCAGAGTCCAGAGGGATTCGCTCTGACTGTGCCTGCTGTGTTAGCCTTACTTGATGGGATTCCTTAAATCAGTGAAGGAATGAAAACATAACAAAAACACATAATTAATACAGGACAATATCATCTATTTGTGACTGACATTAGGGATGAAACTATTATTCATGATTAATCTGTTATTGAAATAATCGTGAACTACTTTAGTAATAGATTAATCGTTAAATGGAATATAGAGACTCTAAAATGTGCCTTTAGCTGACAGAACAATCCACTTGGTTTTCCAATTATACCAAAATTGTAAAAAAGATATACAAAAATGTTGCATTTAAGTTAAAAATACATTGATGTCTGTCAATATGCTCTATCCAGAACTCCTCAAGTGGAAAAGTTTGAGTTTCACCTGGTTTAATTTTGTAAAAAAACTTCTTTAAGAAACCTTTGGCTATCCGATTATTAAAGGTAGAGTGGAGGATGTTCTTTTTCCAAGTTGATAATCAAAATAAGTGTTCCTCCTTATTGCCAATCATTCTGGTGATATGTTTACGTCAGGCCGTCCTACGTGCTCGTCCTCATTTTCACTTACGTTGGTGAGTCTGACATAGTGGAAAAATTGCTAATTTTCTTTAGGAAAGTAAGCTTGTATGAGCGATGCAAACAGCAACTTTAAAACAGAGCGTGCACGAGGAGAAATTGGCTCCTGCACACACTCGCACGTGTTTAATAGGCGTTCCTCTCGGTAGCGGGTACAGGGTTGTGCATTTGCATTTTTTTTTATTTTTTTTTACTGGAGAGTGCGGGTTTTTTCAAGAAATCTTCCTATATACCTTTAATCAAAAAAATTATTGCTAAATGAATCGATTTGCAAAATAACAATTAGTTGCAGCCCTCTCTAACTGAAATTAACTTAAGATACATCTGAAAAGAGCTTTTTTTTCTGAATAGTAAAACATCTGCAGAGCAATAGCAGCTGCTACAGCCAGTGTTTGATCCATAAAGCAGCTCCATTTTCCTTTTTAAACTTCCAGATATCATAATAAACTCCAGTTTATGATAGTTTTCTATCTACAATATATCATCTATGCATTTATCAGAGCTGCTTTTTAAACAATCTAACTGGCATGTATGTAGTGTCTAATGGTTGCCATGGAGACTTGGTGAAAACGAGATGCAGCTCGACTGTAAGGATCTCGATCACAAAATTTTTTTTATGGTTTTATTGTTTATTTCACACAACCACCACTTGCAAAAGAAGGGAAGCTGTTTTAAAGCCAATTTCTGAGTACCTCAATATTTACATGGCAACAGTGAAAACAGTAACCGCCTTTTGGAAAATTTAGGGAACTACAACTACAGAAACAAGGTCAAGCACCCTTCAATATCCTCATCGTAGAGGGGGGAAATAAGAAAAAAGGGAGGTAAGTGGTTTTCCTTCGGCTACAAAGAAGTTACATAAAATAGAAAAACGGACATCAGCAATACTGTAGAAAAAAAAAGACCATAAGTCCTGACAAAAGCTCTGAGTCAAGTTATTCCAATTTAAAATCTACCACATAAAGCAGTCCACCATCTGTTGCCTTACCAGTGCTCTGTCCCAGACCTGATCTCTGGGGTAAACGGGAAGAGGCTGAGGGGATTGCTGATGCAGCAGGAGAGTTTGCTTTCTTTACAGGACCAGGAGGTTTAACCTGCGGCAGAACAGAAAGATTCCTGTAATAGATGAAACATCCGGCGCTATAATTAACAAAACAAGAATGAAGAGCTCTTATTTTGAAGTATCTACATATAAACTGAAGGGGAAAATAAAAAATAAGATGCCGCAGCTGGAAACAAAGTGCAAAACCGTTAAACATCAATAAGTTTTAAAGAGTTTAAAATTCAATTAAAAAAAACAGAAACGCAAATAATCAGTGGGACAAATTTGAAATGATGAATAAAAGCTATTTCCATGCATTAATTCATCAACCCAGCTGCATGTGCTCTGATGTTCTCGTAAGTTCGTGTAAAAAAAAAAAAAAAAAAAAAGCTGTTCCTTCATTACATATCTGTGGAATTCAAGACTAGACCAGAATTTGGCAGGTATTTAAAAAATGTAACCTGACAACAGCCAGATGCATGTCTAGCTCCGCCTAGCTCCACTCACATACATCTGGGACACCGCTCATTGAAAGTGATTTCCCCAACCAAATTTATGGTCTGGCCAATCAGGACGCAGGGCAGGTGTTTCCTGGATGTGACGTAGTGGAGAAGCGACCGTGAGATTCCAACAACAATGGCGGCTCGCATCGAGGAAGCAAGCGTTAGCATTGATGCTGCTATTTCTTCTGTGTTGTCCAATCTATCTGATATTGTTTCATTAAAAGAACATCAGAGAACGGCTTTGAAGGCTTTTGTTGGTGGAAACGATGTTTTCGCCCTTCTCCCGGATTTGGCAAGAGCTTGATCTACCAAATGGCTCCTCTGGTAGTTAAGTGTGACGCTCCCACAGCGTCACGGGTTAGCTTCGGTGTGAGTGGTTGAAATAGCACGTCGATAAAGATGACAGACAAGTGGCTTATCATATGCAAGGAGTTTTGATAAGGTCCAGCCTTCAGTAAAGGCAATTCCTATGGCGGTGTCCCAGATGTATGTGAGTGGAACTAGGCGGAGCTAGACATGCATCTGGCTGTTGTCAGGTTATAAAAAACGGGCTTGTCTGGAGATTGTCTGGATGTACTATCTAGAAAGCTGCCAGATCGTCTGTAAAACTCCTACCTGTGAGAATGAAGCATAGTTTCACTGGGTTGAAGTCAAATAAGAGGCCGGAAAAAAGCAGGATCTTTTAACAGGATCGTCGGGATTATCTGAGGGCAATTTTAGTAAGATTAAATAAGATTAGACTGAATCAAAAGGCACTCCATGTCTTGCTGTATTGGCCTTTTGTCCGACCATCACCAGGACAATGATTGCAGTCATGTAGGTCCAGACTGTCATCCCTCATTCAGATGTTTTTATAAGTCATTCCAAGCATGCCGTGTTCCTTTTGTTCTATCTTCTCAGGTACAGTTGATCTTCATTGATAAGCTTTCTTATGGTTGATTCGTATAATAACATATGAACTTCCTGGATTCTCGTTCCCTCAGTGAAAACTTATTTGTTTAGTCAGAAGAAGCGTGTCTTTCTAAACTGGGCTTTCTTTTCAGGTTTAGTGTTTATTACTCGGATTATCTGATTTTTTTAAAAGCACAAACTGTGTCCTCTGATTGTTTTACTGATTTTTTTTTTTTTTTTTTTGATGTGCATGTGTGTACCTGTGTGCGACTCGGAGGCTTCTTGGCATCTCCTGACTTGTTTTTATTGGGCATGCGGGCGGCTTGCTCCTGGCAGAATTTGATGTGTCTGTCAGCCGCATTCTGATTGAACCTCCGCTGACAGCACGGGCACTGGATGTAATCTAGAGAGCAGGTTAGGGAAACATAGTAGTTACCTTTAATAAAGAAAGTCCTTAAAATGTATCCATAGCTCATTTGCGCAACTTTTCTGATTTTTATTGACAAAACATAGAAAAAGAAGAGACAAAACAATACACTTTGTTACCTGGATCGTAAGATGGAGGAGGAGGTGGAGGTAGCGGCCCCCCATCCTTCACTACCTGAGTGGCGGCCTTGGCAGCTCGAATGGTGGCAATAAAGTCCTCATGCTTCTTGCGCCAATTGGAGGGCTTCTTAGGAGGCTCTGCCTGGCAGGGCGACGATATGGTAGCACAGTTGGTTTTCGATTAGCATGTTTGCGTAGCGTTTAACGGTATAACAAAAAGAAAATATTTCTTTGCAGCCTCGATTTCTAAAAAAAAAAAATCTTTGAAATATTTCACCTAAGGCAGACATGTCCACATAATGCCTTTGATATACTGAATATAAGCAGCGAATGCAGCAGTGTTGCTTCTTACTGTCAGAGATTAAGAAAAGAAAACTTTATAGCTGCAGTTCAAGCCTTATCTAAAGCTAATCATTTAAGACAGAAATAGTTCACCGCTCTATGCCTGGACTGCATCTGTTGCAACATGATAGCTTTGCAGACTTCTTATTTCCTCCTTCAGTTGTGCTGCTTTAAGTTTATTGTGTACATCTGTTTGACAAATGGAGCCGATTCCGAGAAGAAGAAAAAAAAATTTATCCTTTTTTTTTTTTTCTTTATTCTCATTGCATGTCCTTTCTCAAGACCACCTAATCTGAAGATGTTTCTTGACTGCAAGACAGCAAAGCAAATACATACAGAAGTCAACTGATTGGCCTCATTACAGACTGCAGGACATGACAGAGAACGCTTTCATTTCATACGGAGGTTTGAAGCCATGTTTTCTAAAAGCAAAGCCTTTGTTTGACAAGTTTTATCGACTTAATTGCAAGCAGCAAAGATTAGCATTAAAGATCATGACGCAAGACATCTTCACATGCTGGCAGTTGAAAAGTTGGACCAAAACAGAAAAAAGGCTGCTGATTTTCTCCTCATACTGACACCACAAACAAGAGTTAACATGCTTTTGACGACTTAACACCATCGGCTCAAAGCATAGATGTCAGTATCTACAAAGTCAGAAACTTTTGCTCAAAAGCCTGGAAGACAAAATCAGAAAAATTATGCATCTATGAAAAAAAAAAGAGAAAGATGTATGAAAAGAAGGAGTCAACAGAAATGAAATGCAAATAAACTTACTTTCTGTGAGGCAGCTGAGCTTTGAGACTGAAATAAAATTGATAATGTTTTACATTGGAAAAAAAATCCTATCATCACAAGGTAAAAGCTACATCCTGCATGGAAACACAAAAGGATTTATGTTGAAGTTGTTAATCAGGGTAAAAAATCCCGATACTGGGAATATTTTAACGACTTATACCAGCATTATATGGATAGCAAGTTTTAACTACGAGCAGGTGGATCTTCAACACCCTTTTGATTCCTTTACTTGTTCAATTCTTATAGAAAAATATAGCATATATGTGCAATTTATATATATATATATATATATATATAGCTAGTTTTCATTGCATTTTCATTGTATTTCCAACAATAAATGAAAAAAGCTGCACAGTCTTGAATAATTTGTAAATTTTGTATCTCCTTCCTCTCGAGGCTTACCTTTGGTTTGATCGGTTTTAACGTGGAGATGTCTGTTCCCTCGGCTCTCTGTCGGCTCGAATCGAAAACCTTTCTCCTTTTAGTTGCTGCCTTTTGGCAAATTTTTGCATGCTTTTCCTGTTGGAAGAAAAGAATAATAGATCCATGTGCTGATAAAAGTACATGGAGATAATGGAAATATCTGGAATATTTCAGACTAAATCCTTAAGTTAATCTACTCACATAATAATGACATTAGCCTTTCAAGCTAAAAAATAATATGCAAACATCTTCTAGTCATGCTAATAGACGTTGCTAAGTGGTTTACAAATGGTACTCTGCAATCGATGCGATAAGGAGATGAGAATCATTGAAATCTGTATGCTTGAATGCTGAGGAATAATCTCCCTGTACGTTTGAAAAAAATTTAGTTGAACATTTATTTGGATCATGTAAAATAGCTCTATGAAAATCTCAACAGATCTGCTATTTATGTTACTGATAGACACAAAAATATATTTTTTTCCCTTTTTTGATAGATAAAACAATTTTAATGAAAGGCATCAAAACTTTTAAGGTACAAACGTGATTATGATATAGTCCAGTGGTGTCAAAAGTGCAAATATTTTTTACTTAAGTAGAAGTATAGATACTGCAGTTTAAAAACACTCTGGTAAAAGTTAAAGTATCAACTTGACCTCTTTACTCAAGTAAAAGTGAAAAAGAATGTGCTCCAAAAACTACTTAAAGTATAAAAGTATTAAGTAACCTTTAAAAAAAAACAGTCAGATGCCACTATGTGAATTGAAAGCTCTATTTTTGGGCTATTTCAAAAAAATTCTTTGAGATAGGGCCAAGGATGAGGGAGGTCTTGTTGGTCTCCGTCTCCCAATACGATCTCGCCTGCGTCCGACCTTTCAGACATTTCAGCATCTTTTGCTGAATCCTACATTGTAGCATGGCACAGACAATTCATGTTTGCAGTTTGAAGAACACCTGCTTGCTTCTGATGATTTCCTTTAGCTAACCAATTAGTGTTTGCGTTATATGACTCATCCAATTACACTAGTTTTCACTAGATGTGGATGGCGCCAATGATCTACAATGGATGGCGCACATGACGTGGATTAGATATTTAATAAGCTGGTGAGGAAGGCCACTTCTGTCCTGGGCTGCCCTCTGGACTCGGTGAAGGAAGTGGCTGAAAGGAGGATGCTGTCCAAACTCACATCCATCATGGACAACACCTCTCACCCCCTGCACCAGACTGTAGAGGAGCTGAGCAGCTCCTTTAGTCAAAGACTTAGACACCCTGTCTGTAAAAAAAGGCGCTACTGCAGGTCATTCATTCCTGCTGCCACCAGACTCTAGTCTAATGCACTATAACCACAATAACTTCTATAAAAACCACTGTGCAGCTATATTATAGTTTTTTTATTTATTGACTGTGCAATATTCTGTGCAATATGCTGAATGTGCAATATATGTGAATAGAATAGTCATACCATTACCTCACCGTTGCTCCTTACCTACTACACTTTAACGTAAAAGTAAATCCACCTGTATATAAGCAATCCGGATAGTACATATTTTTATTTTTTATTTCTTATTTTTATTTTGTTTTTCATTGTGTGCGATACATGTACACTTGCACCTTAATCCTTATTTATCTTGATATACTGTGTATACCTGGATATACTGCATATATATATTGTTTATTGTTTATTCTTAATGCACCTTTTTCCTCCTTGTTTGCACCTTCTTTGACTTCTATGTCAATATGTGACAAGTGAATTTCTCCGCTGTGAGATCAATAAAGCTCATCTAATCTAATCTAATCTAATCTAATTTGTAAATATTAAACCGAAGCCCAGAGTAACAAGTAACATTTTTAAATGTAAGGAATAGAAAGTACATATACTTGTGTGAAAATGTAATGATTAGAAGTAGGAAGAAAAATAAGTAATGGAGTAAAGTATAGATACCTAAAAAGTGTACTTAAGTACAATAAAAAAGTATTAATTGACACCTCTGATATAGTTAGGAAAGCAGCTTAATGGGGTTTTTTTTATCATCTAACAGGCTTCTTCCCTTTTAACTTCAGACTTTTTAGACCTTAGACAGATTTTATTTGTCATTTTGTTTACACATGTGCAAAACAAAAAGATATTTGATTTGGAAACAGCTTTCTGGACAATTTCATCTTTTAATAGTGCAGCCTTGAAAAATATTAAAAATGACTGTAAATTTACAGTTGTAAGATTTATATATTATATATTTATAAATATATGTAACCAGAATAGTGTCTAAAGAAAAAACAAAGTTTCATCCAAATATTGTGTAGTTGTTTTTATCCGAGCAGCTGATTTTCTGTCAGCTGATAAAACCAGAGGAAAATGTGATTGCCTAGCAACATCTAACACTTTCAGTGCAGTAAGGGCCTTAAAATTATAAACTGGTTAGTTCAAATGAAACCAGATCATCAGCAGAATTTTCTTGATGGGTGCAATGTTGTTGTTTTTTTTTTGGTTTGTTTGTTTGTTTTTTGTTTTTGAGAAATCTTGACGTGTATGAGAAAGTATGTGTAAAAAGATTTATGTATGTATTGTTTATTTACCAAGACTTTGGGAAAGAAAAACCTTTTGCAGATTTTGCACTGGGTCCGATCCTCAGCAGGAGGAGCATCAACATCTGTAAAGACAGAAAAACTCTTAAACTCGTCATCAAACTCATAATAAGACAATTTACTTATATCTCTATACTCGCTGTTGGTTTCATATATTTCATTTAGACGGTTTAGGCTTTAACAAACCAACCACGATCTAATATCAACTCTAGATTAATATTACATTTTAACGAATGCTACAAATAAAGAACAAATGAATTCATTTAAAGTTGAACATTTCTGAGGGAGCAAACCTTCTCAGTCATTCATTAAATGCTCAGTGGATAGCATAAAAGCTAGCAGAGGGTGAATCACACCCAGCCATTCGGCAGCTAGCTCCATTTCTGATCCTAACATTACCTACTAGCTATTTCTGAGCTAAATCCCAAACAAAGGTCGCTTTCAAAAACCGTTAAAGCAAACAAAACTGGGATATTCTACATGGTCATTCTGAATGTTAAACGCGGAAATGATTAGAGTTTGACTTTGGTGGAAAAGAAACTATCCAGAGAAAGAAGTGGACAGCTAGTTTCTACCTTCAAATTCTTCCATCATTAGGTTATTCTCTTCTCAGATGCTGCTTCTGTTGACGCCAGACGGTCCAAGGTAGCAACGACGATCAAGAGCATTCCCTGCTACACACTTCCGGGTTTGCTAAGAAAAAAAAACACAAAAAAAACAACTATGCGTTAAATACGTATTGCTAAAAGTGAGAATACAAAATCACCACTAAATTATACAAGAAAACTAAATATTTAGAAAGGAATATCACATCTAAATGTATCCTTTTTATGTTTTGTCGTTTTCTGTTCTGCACATTTTACACAATTTTTTCTATTTTAAACTTTATTAACAACTATGACAGCCCTCTCGAAGAGTTTAAAAATCAACAACGAAAAGAAATGTAAGAAAAGAAAACGACATATTTAAAAAAAGAAGAAGAAAAATGGGGGAAGCTAAATAAATTTCCCAATCCTTATAGCTTTAAAAAAATAATGACAACATGGGAGATACATAGGAAGTTAGTCAAAATAGTAAAAAAGAGAAAATGTCATGATAAATCCATACTTGATTTATTATATTTATAATTTATGTATATGATATGTATGTAATCCATACATTTTTGAGTGAAATTAAATACTGTTTCAGTCACAGATACACATTGTGCATTGATTTCTACCCTTATTACAATGAAAATAACATTACCCCAAAAAAGAATAACAATGCTGATCATGTTAGATAGAAATGAGTCCAAGTTGCCCATATTATAAATACCATGAATAATTCAAAAGGTGAGATATTATACATTTTTAGTGATAAATGGCAGTGTATATTCAACCAGAAATTAGTTGACAAAGGACATGGCAAATAAATAAATGCTGAGTTGTGTCATTTACTGAGTCACTAAAGGAATATAGGTCTACTTCAAATTTAAACCTTCTCTTTAAGTATATCTCATTAATGGTTTTAAAATGTCTTTCTTTGAATTTCGGAGAAACATATTTACAAAAAGCCTTTTCCAAGTAATAAAGATCTTAATTAAAACCTTCAAAGCCTTCCTGAATAATAGTCATGAAAAAAGGAGAGATTGAAAATTCGTCTTAATGAGCCTATTTTTAAACTTAATATCTATCCCTGCTGGGGCTGCGAGGGGTGCTGGTTCCTATCTCCTAGGGCGAGAGGCGGGGTCCACTCTGGACAGGTCGCCAGTCCATCTCAGGGCAACAGAGAGACAAACAGGACAAACAACCATTCACACTCACACCTAAGGAGAATTTAGAGAAGCCAATTAACCTAAAAATTAAAAAAACAGTCATGTTTTTGGACTGTGGAAGGAAGCCGGAGTACCCGGAGAGAACCCACACATGCTCAGGGAGAACATGCAAACTTCACTCTCTTATTCACTAACATTGATTTTGGGGAGAAAGGTTGTGGGAAAAAAATATTATTTTCCAAAAAGAGATGCCTTGATTGTGGAAGCTAGCTAATTTATTTGGTAATGTGTTTATTTCAGTCATATTTTGAGACAAAATCCATTCCATCTAGCTCCTTAAATCTCTGGGCATATGTAACCAAATTGAATAAGATTGAGCTAAATAATCTTTGAGCGTATTATTTTTAAGTTTCCTACGAGTGATTTAAAAAAATAAGGCTTTAACATCACTTTAACATGCTGACTCCTTTCTTTTAAACCTGTTCTTATACTATTCCTATATACTTCACTCCTGGTATTACACTTACTGATGCTATAACAGAATAAGGACATAAGTGAATAATGGACATTATTAATTGGCTACCTTTGATTTATTATTTAAAAACAGGCCTGCCTTATCTGCAAATTGACTGATTTTGAACTCTTAATCAAATACAGTTATGCCTTTTTAAATTGAGGTCATTTAGGCAAATAATTTAATTCTTAATCTGAACAACTACTTCACTCCTACTACAATCAAACATATAATATTGAAATAATATAAAGGAAAAGAGAAAGAATAACAAGAAAATGAAAAATTAACTTGACATTATTCATACTTATAGCAACCAGCTGATTAACATCACTGTTTTCTGTTGATTATCTTGGTAGCTAGGTAGCTAAAGGCAAGCTTATCCTAATCTTGGATTAGATTATTGCTTAATACATTTTTCTACCCTATAAAATATACTGTTCAAATAGCCTGCTAGTATATTGGAATAAAACTTGTTGTCTTTCTTAGTTTCTTATAGATACAGCATGTTTAATCACTATGTGCTTGTTATCCTATGAATCGATAAAAAGTCAACAGTTGCAAATGATTTAATAAGTTACACTACGCCCAATTTGAATCAGGCCTTTTTTTGTTTTGTAAAAGGCCTTAAGGTTATGATGACATTTGTTGTGTTCTATAAACTGTACCACTTTTATGTAACATCTTTTATTTCCAAACTAAGAAACCGGTTTTGTACTGTCTTGTTGACATATGTTGGGTCAAGCATTGAATTGCAAACACTTGGAAGTTAACAGATTGCCAGACGGAATGTGTGAATGACAAGATTCACAAACAGCTGCCATGAGTGAACACTGAACAGCTGCATCTCTGCCCATTACAATAAGATCACTGTTCAAAATCTGGCTGTCCCCCATTTCACACAGAGACTCACATCCATGGATGGTTTTTAAGTCATTCTGAGAATCTCCTTTAAATTCTAAACTCTTAATAAATAAAAAAAATGTTATTTTAATGATTATGATAGACAGTTTTGCATGTTATGCTTTAGAACTGCATAGAATTTGGAAAGCGAACCTAAGGGTCTTGAGCAAAAGCTGCTCCATATTCTTAAAAATAATAACTTACGTAGTGTCTTTTTTTCCTACAGTATTTCAGAAATGTAAAATTTTTTAAAAGACTCGTTAAAAACTGAATGATGATTTAGTCCCGGTTTTAAAAGGTTGGCCAAATGCCAATCTAATAATTATAAAATTATAAATTTCAAGTCGAGTTCAGCAAAGGCGGATTCGATTAAAGGTATTTAGATTATGTTCCAGAGAATTCTTTCATCAGCATCCAAATTTAGTTTAGATTAGAAAATGCCTTTTAAAATACTAACCAACTTCATTAGTAAGCCCTAAACCTAAGGTTATATTCACACCAAGAAAATCCTTTAGTCTGGACCAAAAGCAGACTTTTTCGAGGGGGTTTCAGTGCAGGTTAAAGGGCATTTTATTTCAGATTAAAAATTTGACTCACATTATATCCATACCTGATTAAGTTCAAAAATGGTTTCTGTAGTTAGGTTGGATCGAGGTTGGTTTTCATTCAGACCAGGGTTAATTTTCACCCTTGCTGTTCTGTTTAACACTGATTCACATACAGTTTTTGTACTGTGTGCAAAAAAAAAACAGTTTTGGAAACAACTGAGATTCCTTGACTGTGTTCAAATTCATGGGCTGCATCCTCCAAGGACGCGGTGTACCTGGACTGGATCCTTTGAAGTCCTTGTAAATAAGGAGACCGAAGAGTTTTGTCTGTGGATTCAAACAGGTCTATCTTTACGCCATACGCTCCGTCGCTTAGCAACTGTGACGGTTGACACACAAAGCAGGAAAAGAATGAATACCGAACTTTTCAAAACTTTTTCTTTTTCTTTTTTTATTTTTTATTGTAAAGTGAACAAATAAAAGCAAATGCAATGAACCATAGTCAGTTAAATAACATGCTGCTGTCATTTTGCACATCTCTGATGTTGCAGAACTGCTATTTTCAAATATCCATTACTGCAAAAATTCATCAAATATTCTCCAGGTGCACAGTTTTATATTGTTAAAACACTTTACAGTACAGTATTGTATTGTTAATATTTTAACTCTTCCCTATTATGTTATCTATCTTATACATTTTTCTAAGGTCCACATTTGTGTGACCATTTTTAATAATCTTTCTGCTGCTGTACATTTGCCCATTGTGGGACAATAAAGAGGTTTTCTATTCTATTCTTTTATACTCTATTTTATTCGATTCTATTCTATAAAAGGGGTCGAAAGATATACGTAAATCTAAACAATGTATGTATAAAAAATATATCTGCAAAATCTCCAATATTCAACAAAAAAAAAAATACTTAGTTAAGCAAATTGTACAAAATAGCAATTAAAAAATAAAAATCCTAATAGATTTATAGTCCCCACACTGCAGATATATTAGAATCTGTCCTTAAATTACAGCCAAATCCATTTACAAAGTAACAGATAAAACCCTTTAGATAAACCAAACCTTACCGCCACATATCTGAATCAATAACCATTGAAACAACTATTTTCATTCATTTTAGACGGAACTATTCACAGAACTATTTAAACTTATGTTTTTTTTAAGCTGAACTTCCAATATTCACTACTGTTTGGTGCATCTGATCACGGAGCAGCTAGCTTGCTTTGTCTGAATGAATCCTGGAAAACCCAAGGATAGCGAGGATACATCAGACCCATTCTTCAAATCGAGCAAAAAAAAGGACGCATTTGTAGGGCCTATAACGAGGAGTGTTGGAATCCAACCAGACCTCGGCGCTGCGCTATGACATCATCGGCCTTCGAATCTGTCCTTAGAGAAAGCATCCCATAAATTCGAACAGATGCCTTATTTTAGGAGCTGGGTGTTGCCCCCTAAAACAGTAGCGCCCTGAGCAGTGAGCCATATTCAAAATCGGCAATAAAAAAAAGCTGATTCAGCCTCAAACAATGCGTTGCTTTATATTTAAAAATTTTTAATGTCTTTTTTTTTTAAATCTAAATATAGTGCAACTAGACAACTAAATGTACATTTACACCAATGAGGTGATGATGCCCCCAAAATAAACTAACGTAAAATACAGGTTTTATTTTGAAATAACAAACCGGAAGCAAAGTCCCTCTCTACTCTAGCTTTACTCCATGAACCCCTGCAGATGAACCCAAAGGGGGAAGCCGAGGTTCTAGCTTTCATGCAGACTGACCCTTGCGAATATTCGGAAACATTTGAGTCCAGACAGGTATATATATGTATTTCTAACCATGCTGATGATCACGTGGTGCAGGGGCTCCACATGGATTAATGCATGCAGAGTCTGTTTGCATGCTTTGTCTGTATGACACTGACCTAGCTCTGCCTTGCATGGGGTCTTTGTCATCAGAGAGGCAAATGGCCGGGTTATAATAATAGATATCAGCTGGAGGCTCACGATTTGCATTTATATTTGCACACATTTATTAAAGATAATGTAAAAATACTTAATGATGAGCACATAAAAACCAGCTTATAGTTGTTGTTTTATTTGTTTATAGTTTGGTGTTTGGGTATAATGAGGTTAATGTTTGTACTAGATACAGTCAGCTGTTATATGGAGACCCATAAACATAGATGATTTTGGTTCCAAGTTGGAGAGATAAAATTATATTTGCAATATTATTCTAACAAACTGTATGTGCATGCATTCACTGTAATGCAGTATCGAATTTGAATGGGGCCCTGAGCTGAATTTCATTTTAGTGACCACTTGCAGATAAGACTATTATCTACCAGCCTCAGCTCTTCCTATTTGTTTACACTTGGCAGCATATTTAAAGTTAAGGCTTAGTCCCAGCAATTAATTGCACACACTGATCATATGACAGCCACATAGTGACATAATATATTTTAATGAATGGATTAGAATTAGGGATAAAGATTTGCTGAAGGGGAAACATGCACATAAATAAAGGAGATTTGCTAAAAAGAAACAGAAAACTGCAGAGATGGGGAAAATGGGTAATCTTTGATTGGTTAAGTTATGTTGTTTTTTTTTATATGTGTGATATGGCTCATTGTCCAGACAAAACAGTCTCATGTCTAGAACTCTGGATTGCATCTGAATGTATATAGCTCATAACATAGTACACTTAAAATGTTAAATAAAGATTTCCCTAAAACAACAAACAAGAAATTGTAACCGTAGATCGAAACAACTACTACAGTCACTAAAATAATTAACTGTAAATATTCTATGTGATTTAAATGGATTTCTGCCTGTGGGTTTTAAGCAGCAACACCTTTTTGGGGAGTAGAGTAAGTTTGTAGGTCTCCATTTTTTAATCTCTATGCTCTGCCAATGCAATCAGTGCTGATTATGTGTTTGGCAGCACAGCCAATGAAAAGGTATCAGTGACAGATCAGCAGATTTTGTCGTGACAGAGAAGGCAGAGCGGTCCACTTGTGCATTGCTTCGATCGTTAGCTTGGGGCTGCATTTGTGTCTAGCTAGAGTAATTATCTTAACAGTTAAAACACATTTCATTACATATGCAGAGAATATGTATGACTGAAGCTACTTAAAGACAGAGAACACTTAAACTATTAAATCACTACATTAGATGCATTTTGTTTAGGTTAACGTATTCATGTTTCCCTATTAAAATACTTATATATATATATATATTAGAAGTGTGTTTGTGTAGTTTATGAAGCTGCAGAATAATCATATTTTTAGTTGGAATGAAAGCTATAGACAGAGTAATAAAGATCTGGTTATCTATAGTTTTTCCTCCAGGAACCCACAGTTTTTAAAAGGAAATGATCCTTCTGACTTTGCTGTTTTTTTATGTCGTCTGCTACGTCTCTCGCTTCCATATTTTCACAGCCTCTGTCAGGCTGTGCCAATTTGGAAACTGTGTTGAGAATAACAGCTGATTAGGAGTGTGCTAGAACAATGACAGATGAGATGGCCCTGGTCAGTCAACACCCACAGGAATGAATCAGGCAGCAGGCGACTTTCCTGCCGATCTTATACAAAATCACACTTTTAAGTGAATGAGGATTCCTGAGGTCGTGAGTCTGAAACTCACTCCCACAGACTGCCAACCTGGCTCTCTGAGCAAGGCCCTTAACCCCTGATTGCTCCCTGGTTTTTGCACAATTACAGCCCACTGCTCCCCAAGGGGATGGTTTAAATGCAGAGGTAAATTTCTTCAATGTGAGATCAATAAAGTTCAATTATTATTTTATATTCCTGAAACTTTTATTTTATATATCTGGTTCTAAATGATTTGCTTTTTGGGGGGAGATTTCAATGCAGGATTTCAATTTTTATCTGATAAAAAAAATGAGATTGACAGAAGTAGTGGAAATGGAAAAACAAAGCTTAAGGCTCCTAAAGAGCTGCCTCCTGCAGCTATATTGATACAGAGAGCTGGAATGTCAACAGAGGGCTTTAACCTACATCTAAGAACTACACAGATCTCTACTTACTCCATTCTAAGGGGACTCCTCTTTAACTACCTGTTTAGTTGCTCTCTGCATCGGTTAAACAATAACCCCATCCCCCACTGGAGTGTATCATTTCCATCTCTGTACAGTTCTTTGTACCCTAGACTGAGATTAGATTAGATTAATCAGGGATTAGATTGTGAGTTAATAGGGAAGAGAGAGGCGTATTGAACCAGCACCTGAGTGTATTTCACTTTCTCCTGATACACACATAGTTGTTAAAGAAAATCGACTGTGTCTTCTGGTATAATCTGGGATGCAGCAAAAGCTACTCTGCGTGGTTACCTTATTTCCTACTGCTCCCACCAAAAAGCGGTTTTAGCAGAGAAGAGAAACAGTCTCGAAAAAGAGATGATTAGATTGGAACAAATACATAAACAATCACCAACTTTGCCAAACTTTAAGGCACTATTGGCTGTTAAATCTGAGCTTAACATAGACTACAACCGCCAGGTTCAGAAACTATTACTTTATACCAAACAGAAACACTATGAATTTGGTAATAAATCCAGTCGCATGCTTTCCCATTTATTAAAAAAGCAAGATAACAGTCGCTTAATTAGTATAATAGGAACGCAGAACGAGGAAGTCACCCATGACCCCATAATTATTAATAATACTTTCCGGGATTTTTATACATCTCTCTACAATACAGATATGGCTGACCCGGATGATATCTCCACTTATTTGAGCAGTATATCTTTACCTTCTGTCTCGGGAGAGGATCGCGCCTTTTTAGATGCTGCTATTACTCCAGAGGAAGTTTTGGCTGCAATTAAATCCATGCCAAACAGAAAATGTCCGGGACCTGATGTGTTTCCATTGGAATTTTTTAAGTTATTTTGGCCAGAGATTCAACCAATATTCATGCCCGCTATTAATGACATTTTGAGAAATGGTATCCCTCCCTCGTGGAGACACGCCTCTATTAGTCTTCTTTTAAAAGAAGGTAAAAATCCTCTGGATTGTTCCTCCTTTAGACCTATTAGTTTGCTTAACGTTGATTATAAAATTGTGGCAAAAGTATTGGCTCGGAGATTGGAAAACATCCTACCTAAAATAATAAACCCAGACCAGGCAGGGTTTATAAAAATGAGATATGGCACAGACAATATCCGACGTGTTCTTAATGTTGTTCAGTACCTTAATACTCACAAAGAGCCAGCAGTAATTGTTTCCCTTGATGCTGAGAAGGCTTTTGACCGAGTTGAATGGCAGTTTCTTTTTCAGGTGTTACATAAATTCGGTCTGGGCCCAAACTTTATCAAGCTGGTTAAAAGCTTTTATTCAGACCCAACAGCCTCAGTTAACACAAATGGCTTGATGTCTGAGCCCTTCGAGATCCATAGGGGCTGTAGGCAGGGATGCCCCCTTTCACCCTTATTGTTTACATTGTTTATTGAACCTTTGGCCGAGATTATCAGGACTAATCCAGATGTATCTGGAATAAATATAGACGGTAGAAACCACGTAATCTCATTATTTGCAGATGATATATTGTATATGTGTAACCCTGAGAAATCAATTCCAGCTACTCTGGAATCTATGACTACATTCAGTGCATTGTCAGGATATAAAATCAATTTAGGAAAGTCTGTCGCCACCCCTTTCAGCATGCCCCCAGAAAGTCTCACGCAATCTCCCTTTCAAATGTCTACAAAAGGTTTCAAGTATCTGGGTATTTTTGTTACACCTGATCTGAATAATCTTTTTGGGACTAATTACTCTCCTTTAATACAAAAGATAAAAAATGATTTGATAAAATGGGCTCCCCTGCCAACTTCTCTTTTAGGGAGAATCAACACTATAAAAATAAACATTCTTCCACGACTGAACTATTTATATCAAAACCTTCCCTGCTATCTATCTCCTGCACACTTCAAATCACTAAATTCTCATTTATCTCGTTTTGTCTGGAACAACAAACATCCAAGAGTCAAGTTCTCTATATTAACTAAGCCAAAACACCTTGGAGGTTTGTCATTACCTTCCCTGCAACTTTATTATTGGTCAGCACAACTTAAAATCGTTTCTAATTGGTTTATGAACAGAGGGAACTCTTTGTGGCTGGATTTGGAATCCCAATCTTGTTTCCCTAGCAAACTTAACTCTCTTTTCTTTATAAATGGCATAGATCAAATACCCCATCTCAAAAGTAATTTTATTGTTTATAATACTTTACTGGCCTGGCGAGATGTGAAGAAATACTTTAATATCTCTTCCACCCTCTCCTCTTGGTCATCGTTGACTTTGAATCCTGATTTACCAGCAGAAATTAGAAGCATTGGATTGTCTGAATGGTCATCGAAGGGATTGTCAAATATTCTGGACATATTGAATTCTGACTCTGTTAAACCCTTTGAACAAATTAAAGCTAATTTCAATATTTCTAATAGAGATTTTTATAAATACTTACAGATTCGTCATTTTGTGAACTCTCTCAGGAGGACAGGAAAACTACGTACAAAATTGTCTGAGTTAGAGAATACAATTGTTTTGACCAAATCTTCTAAGGGACTTATATCTAAGATATATAGTTTGTTATCTGGCTCTGACTCCTCAGGTTATGATGCCATGAAGCTGGTGTGGGAGTATGATCTGGGATTGACGTTCAATCCAGCAGATTGGGAGGAAATCTGTGATGGGGTTTTCCCTAATTGCACTTCGCTTTCTATACACGAGCAGAATTTTAAACTCTTCTATCGAACATATTACACACCTGTTCGCCTTCGGAAAATGTTTCCTGATGCTTCAGATCTCTGTCATAAATGCAGAATACATAAGGGCACATTTATTCATTTATTTTGGTCTTGTGACTATATTCAAGTCTTCTGGAAGGCAGTTCATCTGGTGATACAAGAGATTATTGGTAAACAGTTCTCACTAACTTCCTCCTTCTGTCTTTTTAATCACACTTCAGGGATTTTCTTTAATGCAGATACCAAAAATCTGCTTGCAATTCTCTTATTTCTGGCTAAGAAATGTATACTACTGAGGTGGTCAGCATTACTAGCCCCTACAGTCGATATGTGGTTATCACAAATGTCTGCTATTGTCGCAGTTGAAAAACTGACTTGTGACCTTCATCAAGAGTCGGACAAATTCCGAAGGATATGGGACCCGGTACAATCTTTTTTACAGAAACTGTAAATTCAGTTTTTTTTTTTTTTCTTTTTTTTTGATTTTTTCTCTCTATTTTTCTTTCTTTTTTTTTTTTTTTTTTTATTCAATATACCATACATTTGGTTGTCCGACAGTGTGGACCACTTTGAACCATGTCTGTTTGTATTTTGTGTATGTGGGCTGTATGTATGTATGATTCTTTTTTTCTCTTTTTTTTTTTTTTTTTTTTTTCTCTTTTATGTGAACACCGCAGTGCTCCTTGTTGATTTGGGGTGGGTTGTTTTTGTTTGTTTGTTTATTTATTTGTTTGTTTGTTTTTGTTGATGTTTATATAAAGCTGTGAAAACTTAAAAAAGATAATAAAAAAAAAAAAAAAAAAAAAGAAAATCGACAAGGATTTTCTGAATTTCGTTATTCCATCTTTAGAAGCTGCATATGTTCACACCTCTCCTTTGATCTAGCAGTAAGTGTCGCTCTTTGTGTGTGGATAAGGTAATGCTATGGTGAGGTGTGTGAGCGATGACGGATGTGGAGGCGACCTACGAGGACTTCATCGCTTCTCGACGATCTGGGCGCAGGAACGCCATCCATGAGATCGCAGGAAGCGCGGGGGTGCAGGGAGCAGCCGACCTGTCCCAAACTCTAGCACAGCTTAATATCAACAAATCTGGTAAGAAAAGGAAATGTAAAGCCAAACCGAGCTTTCTGTAATACATTTGGAAGGAATCAATGAATCGATTCATGCATGCAAGATTTTGTTGTCTGTGTGCGAAAACTTTAGACATCTTAACATCTCCCACGGTGTAAAGAACGCCTATTTTGTTTAAAGCAAACATCTGTCACAGGCCTGTATCTGTGCATAGCTTCATTCCCTCAAAAACATTAAGAGAACCTAATGTTTTCCATGATATAACTTTATCTCAGCTCCACTCAGGTTGGATAAGTCAGCTCTAAAATATAATAGGGATGAAAATGTTTCCTGCTCATGAAACTCCTTATCTAGCTTTCCCTGTTTCTGTCTGCTAGGTGACGAGGAAGATGACACCGAAAAAGGCCAGGACTCTTCACCAAAAGAAGAGGAGGCTCAAGCTGAAGGCTCCTAAGTGGTAATGGATGCCATGCACTATGATCCCATAATACTTGGGGGTTTGAACCAAGAGAGAAATGCAAGAAAACTCCTGATTGCCATCATCCCACCAGCATTTACCATCAGTCCAGCCACCTTTATGTTAATAACTAGGTTTCTTGCTTGTTTTATTTTGTGCTTTGTTAAAAACAGACTGGATTTGATATGTAAAGTTTGTATAGCATGATGTAAACTAAGCCAGGTCCTTCTATTCTGTTTGTAGTCCTGAGTGTAAAAGAAGAAAGGAAACAGACACAAAACAGGTTAATTAGGGGATTTTTTATTTTGAGGGAGTCTCATGTTTGGATAAATTAAAGCTTGCCTCCCTTCTCCCTGTTCTGCCTTGACTCAACCAGCATTCATGCATCTGAACCACTCCCAGGAAAATGTGACCAGGGACTAAAAACACTGCCCTGAGACGCCTGCACACACGCTCTCCGTCTGATGCTGTTTCTTTGCTCTCTCAGTAATTTTCTGTATGTGTACTTTTTTTCTTTGAGCCATAGATCTGGTTTAGCTACTTAACCGGCTTTGTTGACTCTCTTTCAGTCCATCTGCCTCTGGGAATATTGGCTGCAGCTGATGGAAATAATGATTAGTTAATGCACTTTTAAATCAGTGGAAAGTAGCATTTAAATCTCCAGTTTTCTAAAGCACACAACAGGTTAGAAGTCATGTTGAGAATTTTTTTTCTGATTTCCAATTCTTTTTTTTATATCTTATAGTAATATTTTGTAATGTAGCTAACTCCTCCATCATTTGCAGGTGGATTATTTTGCACAAAAAAAGTTATGATTTGTTAATTCTTGGATATTATTTTGCCATTAAATTTGGATGAAACACTTAAAACACACATCTTTACTTGGTGATTTTTTTTCTTACTGCAGAATTATACCTTTTAATGTGTATGAGGAGCGTATCCCCTCTAAAATGCTGATCTCCATACAGTACTGCCATGCATCATGTCTACATGGTTGCTTCTTTGCTGTCTCATTTGGAAAAATTGCACTACTGATGCCACTCGGATCAATCATGGGTGGATTAAGATTTACTCTTTCATTTTGATGGAGTCACCTTTGGCTTGCACTCTCTTAAACCTTTACGTAGTAAAATAAGAAAAATAACCAAAAAACTGTAAAAGTTCTTTGTTTTGTTGAAATGAACTGAAAATTTCAAGATGCACTCAAAGTCTTTGTTAAATCCATGATGTGAAAGAATTTATTTAGTGATATTTGAATGTCTGATAATTTTCTCCTATCTAAGATTATTCAAGGGTATTATTCAGAATCATTTTGTACAGCAACTCAGGTGTAATGAGATTTTCTAAATGATCAGAACTGTTGCATTGCCACTGTTTTGAAATGTTTCTAGTTTCTTGACAGCATCTTTGACGCTTTGATATTTTCTCTTGTGATTTGTAATTTAAAATAACTGCAGAAGTGTGGCGGTGCAGAAGCTGGTGTGGTCACTGCCTCCCTCTGGTGGTCAGAACCAGCAATTAATTAGGAGCCATATGACAAACACTGTTTGAGATACAACAGCATAAAATACTTTGTCCATTTATAGCTGTGCATTTATAGTGATACAATGCTTGATGTGTTTGAACTGTTTTCTACTTACTGATTTGGTTTTCTATGATGGGCTCGCTGTTGAACATGAGCTGTAATCCATGTTTTCTCTTTGTGTGTCAGTGGAGGGTAGTATGCAGACATAACAAGCAACTTTAGGTTATGCCCAAAATGCACATTTATTGACCGCCACTAATGTCCATTAAAAAGAAAGTTGTCTAAGGAATCAGCCAGAGTTATACCATGGCCTTGCTGGTGTCTTAAAGTGTCTGATTTTTCTGAAACCTGCTAAAGGAAAAGTATCCGATAATGCATAGAGGTTTGTGAACATGTTTGTTAAATGTAAAGCTTGTAAGCCTGAATAATAAAAAAATAAAAACAATTCCAGCTCATGCACTATAATTTTTTTCACACACTTGTCAGGAGGCCAAGCAGTCTTGGAGGTGGGACCCAACCTGGTTGAAAGAAAAGTTTTCAGCTGACAAAACTTTAATTTTTTCTGGTGCAGGACATCAACCAAACCACACCAACCAAGAACAATGGCAGTCATGTTTCTTATAAAGAGGAGGAACTAAATTGGAAGAAACAATTTTTAAAAGGATGTTCAGCTTCACAATAAGAAGAAAAGGAAAATTTGGTTTAAACAAACAACTACAGTAATTAAGAAATACTTTTACCAATAAATACAGAAAACAAATATTTTAATTCAATCAAACCAAATACTCAAACTCAAAATAGAAAACACCATGCATCAGATAAACCTCACCCCCCTTAAATTATCCAATGGTGCAGTCCTGTATGCTCCTGCTTGGGAGAGTGAAACAGCAGAGGTGAGTATTTCACAATATGTTAACTCCGTAATCCATGAATTTCCCTTTTATTAATAGTTAAACAAAAACAAAATATTGTAAAGTGAAATAAATTTACCTTTTTACAAAAATGAAAGCAAGATGTGGCCAACCAAAGAACCACAACCCAAACAAATCCACTTCACCCAAAACAACAAAAATAAACCAATGTAGAAAAACAAATGCTGTGTTTAGCTGCTACTTTGGCCAATATACATGGTTCATTGTTACAGCATGAAATAAGCTATTTATGACCTCGCCCCCTAAAAAATATAGAAAAATATCCCAAATGAATCAATAAAAGTAAATGTTTGTATGCTGATGTCAGCACAGAAAGTGAACAGCACTGTATCCGCCTTATTTATTTATGCTGACAGGAACTGAAAATAATGGGCCATTGATGACGTCCGTGCATTAATTGAGGCAGCCAAATAATTTTAGCTGTTTTTCCTGAACAATTTGTAAATAAAGATTCCAAGAAAAACTGTGTAATCAAACAAGGGAGCCAAGTTTGGGTAGAGATAAAAGGTTTTATTTAATTCAGATATCAAACTCAAAAGAAGATTAAATCTGCATTCACTCTAGTGGATAAACTAACATCAGCAACATTGATTTACATCAGTGTTTGTGTTGATAACAGTGCTTCTTTCACATGGCAGCTCTTTTGTTAGACTTACAGGTAACCTCTTAAATGTTCTTTGCTTCTTTGTGAGCTTTGATTGCAGTTTGGTAGTTGTTGGAATGAGGAGATTCATTTGATTTTGGATTAAGAAAAAAGAATTTGACATAGATGTTTCTTTTGGATCTATATTTTACTACTTTTTGACATTACTGTTTCCAGATGGCTTCACAGAGAAAAGTAATAGAAAAATAAAACACTTTAGAGAGAACAATAATAAAAAGATCACTTATTGATATAATAAGGGCAACATAAAGGATGAACGCAAGGTATAACGATTCAAAATAAGCTTCACTCACAATAAACATAAGACAAGATAAAAATCCTATTTGGAATTAAATACCCTAATGTAGCTTTAAGGACTCCGGATGGTGAAGGGGGGGCTTTAATAAATTAGAAGATGTCTCTTCTCTGTCATTAAGTCTTTATTTTATTCAGTGAGTCACTAGTGGGCCTTAGCTATGAGAAGCACTCTACTCTTTGATTCTCTGTGTTAAAACTTCTGCAGCTGTGTTCCAAAATCATTGCATAGCTGCTATAGATTTATTTATGACATTAAAAAAGATAAAGGCATTCCTTCAACATAAATGAAACAAACCAATATGCTTTGTTGTCAGGTTTGGCATTAAGCTAGTTTGCTTTATTTTGTCACACAAAAAAAAACTCCCTGTCAAAATGTAATTTCATTGGTTATTTTCTTAATTACTTTTCAGTCTTTTAAGTGAATTAACTCTGGATACTGTATTTCCCATCTTTCACGTGAAATAGCAAACAAAAACTGAATTTGTTTGTTTTGTTTTCTCATTGTAGTAAGTTCAGAGAAATCTTCCAAATCCTGGAAAATTTAGAGTTAAGGATGACTGAAAATTAACATACTATAGAAAAAAAGCTTGAAAAGGTCAAGGCCTAGTACTGATCCTTGGGGAACCATGCAGGTAGTAAAGATATGAGTATCAAGGTCAACAGTGCTGCTGTTCAGAGATCTGGAAATCTGTTATTGGGTTGAGCCTGAAAGCCAGATGGTTTCTGTAATGGGTTTTAGATGAGTTATTTCTTTATCCTGCCAAGGACTGGCTAATCAACTTTTTTCTGTAGAGGTAAAACTTATTAGCATATAAAGAGATACATCATTGTTGTGAATATTTGAAGAAAAAGAAGTACATCTTTGTTAGTCCTGTTTGGTAATTAAAAAAGTAACAGCTTTGCTATCATTTCTAGGTTAATCATTTAAAAGCAGGTCAACGGATGCAATGCTTTGAGGGAGGGGTGGAGTAAAAGCTAATCTTATGACATTAGTTATGCTTTGAAGGGAAGTTCCAGAGTTGCTGAAAGAAAAAGTTTAAAAGTTACCTTTATTGCTTTTCATGAAGTTGGAGAAATGATTAAATATAAAGGTTTTCATTTACAGGTTTGTGCTGTGAGTCATAGCAAAAATATTACAAGTCCTGCTACAACTTGTAGTGTACATGGATTTTATTTTTAACTTTCTTTTCTCTCCTGCTGTAATTAGAATAATGATATAATAATACAACTCCAAACTTTCACATTGTCTTTAATGGAATAAGATGCACATACATAATAACAATATTGCAGACATATATGTGCTCCGTGAGGAACTTTGTTCCATGAAAAAAAAATAACATATCTTCCATTTAAAAAAATAGAACTGATAAAATATTGCTTGAGAGAATATTATTACATAAGTTTTCCGCAGTTTTAGGGTCGAACCCAGCACACACGCTGACATGGTAACAAGGGAAGTGAGATACAATGACTCACAATGGAAAATGAAAAATAAAAGTGACCTGTGAGGTTATGCGGATTTAGGCGATCCAAGCAGTTAAATGTGTGGGGTTTAGTTAACTGGAAGCTTGTCTTATGCCGATTAATTCTGCTTTGGAATGAAAATTCCATGCATGTCCTTGTAGAGCTCAGCGTTGACATACGCTCTTGCAACTTCCTTGAACGTTTTTCCATCGAGGATCACGAGAAAACTTGACTGGCCTGGTTTGGAGTTGATGACAGACGACAGGACCACTCCTGCAAATTGCAAAATAATTAATGAAAAAAAAAAAAAAAAGAGGTACAAATTAGTGCCAAGTCCATACACAGATCACAAGCACACAAGTGAACAAACATTATTGTCCAGCTTCACATGTGTTTCCTGAACACCCACCATCGTCCTCTGACTCTCCATTTGGTCTGGGGACAAAAATCGGCTCTGAAGGCCAGCAGTTTTCTTCGTTCCAGTACAGCATTGTCTTCGTCTTTGTGTCAAACTTGGCAATCTAAAGGAGATAAACATGTTATGATACATATTTAAACAACAGTATTATATGGGCAGCAATAGGTCTCAGAAGGAGCAGTTTGGAGTTACCCATGGAAATATTACCGCTCTCTAAATCAAATTGTATGTGCATTACAGTATTCTAATGTATGCTATAGATCCTAAAACATTTCCATATTTGTAGCATTACAAACATAAATCCCAATATAATGCATATTGCTAATATTGTACTTGAATGTCACAAAGTGGTATCGAAAAACAGAAATAAAGTCTAAATAGTTTGGCAGGCATTTTTATTCAACCTTTACTCTGATATCCCCAGATGAAGTCAAAAAACAAACGTTTCCAGAGATTTCTTTCAAATTAACCTGGTAAAGATCATAAAGCTAAAGGAACACAATAAACAGGCTAGGAATAATGTTTTGGTAAAGTTTTGAAATTAGTTAAAGATTCCAAGCTTCACATATTTTATAGAGCATTTCTTAATCCATCATCTGCAATTAGAAAAAGGATGGCACAACTGCAACACTACGGAAACATGAAGTAGAACACTGTCTCCATGAATCCGTCCTTCAAATGCACAATCCCCATGTTGAAAAGTGTTTGTGGTGTCTTATCCCACAGAAGTACAGAAAAATATATTAAGGTTTGTGGCTTTTATGTAAAAAAACATAAGAAAAGGAAGTATCAATAGTTTTTCAAGTAGCACTCTTTCTGATAATAATAAATACCCTTACAATTAAACGTGAAGTTAGATTTCAACAAATACAAAAATGGCATATTTCACTTTTATCATATAAGTAAATGTTTTATTAAAAGTGACATAAATTTGGCCATCTAGGTTAAAGCTAGGATCTCTTTCTAGATCTCCAATCATTCTGTGTTGAACATTTAATTCTAGAGTTAAACATTTTGCAGGGCTGTCAATCAAACAACTGCCCCTTCTCCTCAGTTGAGCTTCCCTTTGCGGAAGATGGACTTGTGACTATCTGCTGACTCAAATATTTCTCCTGGTGTTGAAATACCGTGAAATGAGAGAAATCTCTATCTCAGTCCAACACAAGTGCCCTGTAATAAACTTTCACTCCACTCAGATTACATTTCAGTTAAATAGATACTGAACTGGAGGTCTTTAGGTTGTTAGTCAGCTTACTTTTAACTCTTATCCCACAGCATTGTGATAACAGCTGATATAGCAGTGTTGTACAGAATGTCCAGCCCTTGTTTTGTAAACCTGCATCTTCTCACGCTATCGAATACCAGACATGAAAACTGTTTTTCTTCTTCTCATTGTGTTTTAATGTGGAAGTGGACCCAGCGGACCAATTCCAGTTTCTCTTGTGCCAACAGGTATTTCAAACAGCAAAGCTTTAAGATGATTAGGATGCATTGGCAGGTTGGAACTTCCTGTCCACGTCAGTGGAACAGTGTTGACAGGAAGAGTCTGTTTCCCTAAATCCAGGTGCTTAAGAGATCTTAAGGGGGAGTGGGGGGCTCTGAGTTTGAGCCCCACTCCCACAGACTGCCACTCTGGGTCTCTGAGCAAGACCCTTAACCCCACCTTGCTA